ACTGGTTGGGCAAATTCCCATGCACCCTCCAGGATCCCCCTAAGGGTATAGAGCTGGTCCAGTGTTCCACGGCCAGGAAGAAAACCACATTGCTCCCCCTGAATCTGAGGTTCAATAATCCGACGGACCCTCCTCTCCAGAACCCCTGAATAGACCTTACCAGGAAGGCTCAGGAGTGTGATCCCCCTGTAGTTGGAACACACCCTGCAGTCCCCCTTTTTAAAAAAGGGGACCACCACCCTGGTCTACCAGTCCAGTGGGACTGCCCCCGATGTCCACGCCATATTGCAGAGCCACGTCAGCCAACACAGCCCCACAACATCCAGAGCCTTAAGGAACTCCGGACAGATCTCATCCACCCCTGGAGCCTTGCCACAGAGGAGCTTTTTAACCACCTCAGTGACCTCAGCACCAGAGATTTGAGAGGTCAACCCAAAGTCCCCAGACTCTGCTTCCTCACTGGAAGATGTGATGAAAGATGAAAGTAATAGTTACGAAACGTGTTACAGGTTACTAAGTTTGGTACAAATTACATGTAATAATGTCCCAAACCTAGTTCCATATATTAACATTTTTACTGTTGATTATATGTTAAGCAGAGTTTGAAGTAAAAGATCAAAGGGACATTAATTTAGGCGAGACGTCTCAGACATCGGGGAGAGAACGGTTGGATGTTAGGAGACGGACAAATGCTGAATATAAAAGTGCATTCTGGGCTCTGTCAGCAGCCTTCTGCTGTCTGAGGAAGAAACTCTTAAATGTAATCTACTGACCCCGCTCTGTAATAAATATTTATATTCAGAACTACTTAGACTTTTTGTTTTAAGTTCATTAATACCAACTGGTGGGCCTCCTTACTATGAGTTATCAGAAATATCCTTGGATTTTCCTGACGCTTCAGCCTCAGCTGGGTGAAATGTATTCGAGTATTTCTCCGTTGAAACTCTTCAGAGCCTTGTGCACAAAATCCTTATTTAGCTGCTGCATCAAGAACAAAACAAAACAGAAGGGACACTTTTTCACTCAGCTTTGTGGAAAATGTTGCTCTGGTATGGAAACTATTACCTAACTTTTTTGTTAAACTCATTAAGATTTTATTTTGCAAACCCTTTTAAACAGATTTTTTACGGTATTTTTTAAACCTGCATGTTGAGTCGTACCGATGTGATGTCATAATTTTGTCACATGAACAAATATGTGAAATCATTAATCTGACAAAAACTACCTCATTATTTCAGTGTTTTAACTTCAATATTGCATAAAATTCTAAACTAATCTGGAAGAGACTTATTGTCATTTTCTGATTTTTTTGACTCAACAAGTAGAAATAATTGGTTGTGTGTTTATATTTTGAGCCAAATCCATGTGTGTTTGTTATAAACATTAAAAGTACAGGAGTACTTTCTGCTGATTACATGTTTTCTCATTTGACACATGTCTGTTAGCTACCTCTATAGACTCGTTTATACTTCTCCATCTGCGGAGGTGAGGAGACACACAGCGCCATTCTCCGAAAGGCCCGCAAGGACCAACCTGAGGTTTTTAACCATCCGTCAGAACGCTGTCTCTTTGTAACTAAAGTTTTCATTCCTCTAAATCAGGCAGTTCCAGCTCAGTGAAGTCTCACCCAGCCAACCATTGATCCTTGAGTGGATTGGCGTCTGCATGCTTTTTTAAAAATTTTAACATAATAGGAACAACGACAAATTCCGACATCAACACAAGAATCAAAAATTCAACTTCACGCCTCCTTCAAGATGTTACCGTTTACAAGCTGAAGTAAATAAACTCGTTGACTGTGACGTGACTGCAATGGTAAAGGTCCACACCCCCTGCTGTCCTGGCGGAGAACTGCTTCACACCACTGACACATCAACAAAGAAGTATAAAAGGAAAAAGTCTGTATTGATGCGTGCGTGATGGAGACGAGTTTAAGAAGCTTACAGGCTTGGAGATCCTGACCCAACAGCCTACAGCCTCAGCCCCTCGGCACAGCAGAGTCAACCGCAGGAAAGCGAAGAGAACAGAGTACCTGGGAAAGTCAGCTCGCCCAGGTCCTCACCACCAACCCCCTTCCCCAAAACCCAAACGGTTTCTGCTCCACTGCACTCATCAGCAGCACTTGGTACTCAACCTGTCCCTCTAACCTCCTCCAGCGTGTCCTGGATCAATCTGGGTGCTTCCTGCCAGTAGGTCAACGCATTCCTCTCAAACTGGTAAAGCGCCTTGCGAGTGTAAAGAAGTGGTCCCGGGTTTCATGCAGAAAACCACACGTCAGCTTCTCAATCCAACATTCTACCATGGACCAGACCTTCTTCTCGAACACCCTGGAATAGACCTTTCCAGGGAGGGTGAAGAATGTGATGCCCTAAAGTTGGAACACGTGTCTGCCCCCCTTTCTTAAAAAGGCTGGTCACTGAGAAACCATTTGTAATCATTATTTCTGATTCTGGATCACTCTGAGTGTTTCATGAAGGCTGAACATGAAAATTTCCCCCTACACCTATCTCCTGTATTAGCTTCTGATAGAAAAAAAGTCAGTGAAATGGATTAGAAAATCCTGACAGATCTATGTCACACTGTCACTAACATTCATGGACTCACCCATATTTTATCATGACGGAGAAGGCTGTTATTGGTTTAGAGTCCAGGAAACAGCAGAGAACGTCTCGGCTAGTAGAAGCTAACAGTTAGTATTATCCACTCCATCACACAGCAGAACTCCCCCAGGTTTTTATTGTTTGTGGAGATAAAACATCAATGTTGTGGTTGTACATTTCTGCAGAGTACAAGGCATTCATTCCTACCAGAGACCACTGCAGATCTATTATAAATACAATCGAAGGACCTCTTTCAAAACAGCTCAGCTCTGGTTCCTCACAAATTCCTGTCTCCACTCGCGTGTTCAGCCCCTTTCAGGCAATGGGATCCATCTTCCAATGGAGGATATTTTGAGTAAAACTGTTTCATTAACGTCAAAAAGCTGTTTGATCATCACGTTTATTCTATAAAAGTTTAAAGATCTGAACCGATGGGCGAACATGAGATAAACGCGGCTGCAAGTCTGAATGCACCTGCGTCGGTCTGATGCAGGATCAGGGTCTCTCTGATCAGGGAAGTGCGCGGACACCTGCGGTTGATCAAAACACGTCACCGGATGAGACTTTTTAGGATAAAACTCCCTGCTCCGTTATTCCTCCGGATCCGCGCACGCCCGTCTCCGGTGCGCCGTAAATAATGTTGATAAAGACGCTGGCGTATCAACCCCCCCCCCCCCCCCCCCCCCTAAATGACCCCGTTTCCAAACGACATTGGAAGCCTGTTTAAACAGATGAAGCCTTAAATTGTCTTGCTTGTGCGCGCATTAATCTCCCATTCATCATCATTACTGCGTGATTGGTCCGTCTACGCCTCCGCCAGCCTCTCCGTTATGCACAAGGCTCCTAAATTAGGATGTAATCCAATTTCAGTAGCAGCCACACATCCATGAAGCCTTTCTCCCTTTGGCTGGTGGACAGCTGCAGCGCACCGCCCCTATCCACGCGCTTGGTGCTGGGATCTGACAAACCCCGAGCCAATTCCCGCTAATAGGACCTTAGAAAGCTGGTGTAACGTGCGCAATCCAGACACGAGCCCATCATATCTGCACGATCAATTTTCCTATCAAATGTTGTCGAAGCTGGATGAGGCCGCTGAGGATTCGGTGAAGGACGAAGACTCGTCGATGTGGCTGTAATTTGCTCCTCTTTAATGACGTTCTGGCACAACACGACGCGCAAATTTGGAGGATGATCACATAAAATGTTCCGTTAGTTTATTTTTGTTCATCTTTATTTAATGTCACGTTTTTTATTTTTATTTTATTATGCGCCATTCCTTTGCGCGACCCGCTGATAGTTTCCATAAATCTACCTTGTGGTTCCGGCCCGACTCCGGAGGCTTAAACGGTGTATTATCCCAAACATATGCATTTTAATCAGCTTGGTCACACTTACAAGAACTCCAGTTAATAAGGCCATCAATCACAGGCGCATGCTGCTGGAGCAAGGGTGGCGCGCGCGCGTGTGTGTGTGTGTGTGTGTGGGGGGGGGGGGCATCACGGAGAGCCTTTGTAAAATTTGATTGTCCAAATGTTGTTTTTTAAATGAGGGATGGCTTTTATGCAAAAACATTTATTTAGATATTTACATGTTGCTCAATTTAGCTTTTAGACAATGCGCAAACAATGGTTTATAATCCTGCGTTAATATGTGATCTTAGATTTCAACTCCTCGTTTGTGATCTAAATTGTACCCTTAATTTCCGCGGTTTCCATGCGGGCCTTCAATCATTTAAGCGCTAAAACTCCTTTCATTTGACCATAACGCGCAAATTAAGAGCTATCTTGATTGTTTGCTAATTATGCCGACGCCCCCCCCCCCCCCTTCCCCCCATTTTCTCAGGCTGATCGATCTCTCTGCTTTTCCAATATTTTCTTCACAAAACTAATTCCGTGTCTATTAAGTGGTTGCAGAGAAAATATGAGTGGCGTTAACGGAGCCCGGGGACCACTTAGCTGTCACGGTCAATCTAGCAGTGTGTGTGTGTGTGTGCGTGCGTGTGTGTGTGCGCGCGCGCGTGCGTGTGAAAGGAGTTTATGAAATTTTCTTTCATCTTGGTTCGTTTGAAAACAGTCAGAATTGGTCTCGTCTGCGCATTTCTTCAGAGACATAATTTATTATTTATTATTTGACTCGACAGACAATCCAACTCAAACAAAACAAACAGAAGAATCACAAAAAATCAGAATAACATTTAAAAACCAAACATGATCAAATGACGTGTTCCTCGTGAAAAGGAGCGTAAATTCATAATTTAATCACATTTCGTCTAATTTCATAATTAACTCGTAGAAAGTCATGTGTACAACAGCATCGATGTGTTTTATTTATTTATTTTATTCTGATTGTCCCTTCTACCCCCCTCCCCCCTCCGCACCGTGCGGGGTTGTTGAAATCCGCTCCCTCGGCGCCTTGTTACCTTTTGGCAGCAACGATCCCTCCCTGGTTTTATCATTAATTCAGCGCTCAAGCGCCCCCTCACATTTACATCACTTATTAATTTTACTTGCATGCGCACATTTCGCCTCGTGCCTCTGAGAGCGGAGTTAATGAGATTACCAGTTTGTTAAAAACAGATGGAAAGCGTCGTTTTTGCGGTGACTAATAGGTCAGTTTGAATGAGACGCCAGTCATATTAGAACCCTTGATTTCATCCGTCATGAAGATTTTTCTGCAACTCTGAAAAATATCAAATGAAAGTCAGTTGTGGTCCAAGCGGCCATGTTGGCGCATCTGCTGTGCGTCTTTCTCGGTTCTACTGTTTAATATCGCATCTGACGTCAGATGGAGACGAGCGGTGTTTTATCTGGTCAGAGGCACTTCTTCTCTCTGGTCTAGAGTCACTGGTGAGGATTTGCTGAGAACTGAAGGCGTAAATGTGACAAAAGCGTCCGACCTGCTTGTTGGAGAGCAGGAGAAGTCCGACCCAGAAGGTCTGGTACCGATTCCGTTGGACTGCGAGGAGTGGCAGGCCAAGCAGGAACAGGGACTCCCACCGGGCCCGAGGCCGTGGGTCGGACCCGGGTACACAGAAGGATGTCTGAAGGCGCACAGGAGTTCCGGTCTCTGGTAGGGATGGGACAGGACCCGGAAGCTGTCGAGAGAGCGCAGGGGGTTGGAGAAGGGGGCGGCGGGAGCGGAGGCCGCACCGACACTCAGGGGGGAGTAGTAGGGTAGCGGCAGGTGGGATGGGAAAGGGTACGGGAGGTTCCCCGTGGCCGCTGCGTGGCTCATCATGTAGGTGTAGAAGGCCGGGTCGGCGGGGTGAGGCCACGTCATGGCCAGGCGCTGACGTTTGTCTTTCATCCTGCGGTTCTGGAACCACACCTGGGACAGGAGACAGAGACACGCTGCGTAAATCATCAACCTGAGCCCTCCCCCTCCGTCTGACCAACAACAACCCTCACCGGGCCTTTACGCAGGCCGCAGGCTGGGCTTTGGGTTTCCTCTGACCCACTAATCAACATCACGGAACATTAATCTGGTTCTGGTCTGGTTCTGGTTCTGGTCTGTCCTTACCTTGATGGTGGTTTCGGGGAGGTTTAAGGCAGCCGCTAGCTCGCATCTGCGCGGCCTGGACACGTAGTTCTCCCGGTAGAACTCCTTCTCCAACCGGGCGATCTGCTCCCGGGTGAAGGCTGTTCGGTACCGGCGGATCTGGTCTGCTCCGTAGGACAGCGGACCCTGGCCAGGGACCGTTTTACCCGGGTCAGAACCAGTCTCACCGTGACGCGGAGAGTCCTCGCCTCGGCCTGAACAGAGACGCAGGATCAGTGACCGTTTCTGAATAAGAGCTTTACATTAAAATATTATTAATAATAAAAATGAAGAGAAGGGAATAAACACAACTAATTGTTTAAATAAAAATCCAACAGATTAGTTTATCTTTGAAGGCTGAAGAGGATTTTTGTTCCCTGTAGCATCACAGGCTTTTTTTCACGACCACAAAAATTCTATTTTTTTATTTGTTCCATTTATTTCTGCATTTATTAGTTTGATAAAAGCCTAAATTAAATAGATGCGTAAACGCAGTGATGACGTGTCATCCTTTTATTTTCCACATGAATGTTCTTCTTTTTGAATGAAAACATCTCAAGTCTTATTGTCATTTTTATAAAAACAAATATCGAACATTTATTGAAATACTCCGTTCATGCACCCTGAAGAAAAGCACGGAAACACCCCATAACATTCCTTTATGTGCATTATTCCCGTGTTTTCCTTCTGCTGCTGCACGCGCAGGCTGTAAAAAAAAACCTTTGGTTACGTCGTGGGTGTCACCAGCTGCTGACAGAACAGCTGGACGCACCTCTGCGGGTAAACGTGCCTCGACAAAACGCAGATTGCGTGATTTTCGATTGTTTTTGGTGTTTTTCTGTCAATCTGTGTGTAGATTATTCTGAAAGTGATATTTTTAGAAGCGTGGTTGAGGATTTGCAGAGAGCCATGTAGCCTCATCCTGCAGCTCACCTTTAGATGTTGGGTAGTCCATGCTCTCAGGCGTGCAGCTCACATCGATTTCCTCGTAGAAGTCGGACTCGGTGTCGGAACTGCTTCCGTCCTTGGGATCGGTTCCGAACCTCTCACCGGAGCTGATCCTCTCCTCCGCCAGCAGCTCACGGGAGTAGGGCGCAGCGCCGGGGCTCAGGCAGCTCTTGCGTCCCGGCTTCCCTGGCGGCTCGCGCACAGGGTTCCCGATGGCTTCCGGCAGCCCGGAGCCGTTCTCCTCTCCTCTCTCCTCTCTGCTTTCCATCACTGCTTTAGCGAAGCGGAGGTGGATCGGATGAATGGAGGTGGAATTTGTGGAAACGAGAGGGATGCGATCCGGTCTGATCCTCAGAGAGGAGAACTTCAGAGTGCGGAGAGAGAGCTCTGCGAGGATCAACCATTTACCCCCTCCCTCCCTGTCCACCCCACCCCACCCCAACTCTCCCTGCCTTTGCTTGGAGCTGTCACCCCAAACAGGCCAGTGAGCAGGATGCCCCCTCCCCCCACCCCACCACAGCCCTTTGGTGACGGCACGCATTGATTGGCTATGTGTGTACTATCAGAGAGAGAGGATTGTGTGTGTGTGTGTGTGTGTGTGTGTGTGTGTGTGTGTGTGTGTGTGTGCGTGTGCGTGTGCGTGTGCGTGTGTGTGTGTGTGTGTGTCTTTGGTAATATACATTAATAACAAAGAGAAAAACACACACATAATGTTTGGTTAAATAAATTGATGAATAAAATAGAATTAATAATAAATGTGGCTCTTCGCCATAAAAGGTGAATTATGTGCCCCCCCCCCCCCTTTCTGAGTGGAGTCAAGTCAAGTCCTCAAAGGTCAAGTGTTCGGTCAGAGTTTAGATAAGAGGCCATTTGAAAGGAAGTCGTTAAGATCTGCAGCGCCTGCAGCAAATCATGGCGCTGAATGCACCACTTTATGCAAAGTTTCATTTTAAAGTCCTTTGTTTGGCGCAACGGACCGGGAACAGCTTTCATTAAAATCTGAACTTTTTCTACATCCAGTTATCAGATTGTTCATTTATTCACTTCAATCGAAGCGTGAATGGTTTTAGTAACTATAGATCTGTTTCAAAATGGGAAGAAATTATGTAAATGTTTTACTCCCAGGGGTCATGTGTTCATTTATTGGTTCTGTTTACTCAAATTATCATTGTTTATTAAGAGTATTCATGCTTCAGCAAGATAGCTTCTATAGGTTTTTATTTATTTATTTATTAATTTTCAGTCTTGTTTTATTACAGCACAATAATAACAATAATAATAATAATTAATCAGTCGTGCTGTTCATCTAAATATTATGGGATGGCTGTGATGTCATCAATAACCAATGATGAGTTTACGTTTAACAGAGTCAGAGGGTCAGCTGCAGCACAAGCTCATTCTGGTTACAGCCTAAAGGCTACTGTGTGGTTGGACTGGTTATTCTTTGTTATTCCGGTTTGTTTAATTGTTAAACACCCAAACCGAACCCTAACATTTACACCACCTGACAACATGCTTCTGGAGCCTGATAGAGAAATGTTGCTGCATTTTATTACAAGTTAGGATTGAATTGACAATAAAATGAGTAAATGTTGGGCATAATTTCACATTATTAGTCTGATCAGATGCAATCCTGCAGGATCAGAGGTTTAGTTTGTGTCTAATTTTAACCTAACAGTTAAAAAAAAAAACAATCTGAACAGTTCACCTGTTTGCCCGGAGCGACTCACACTTCAAACCGACTTGTGTGTTTTTGGCAGGAAACGTGAAAAAGCCCACACATGTGGGAACAACCTGGAAAATCCGGATTTGAACCTGCAACCTTCTTGCAGTGAGACAACATGGCTGCCAACTGCACCACCATCCATGACTTTACTCGCTGACCTACTGAACTGAACCCGGACTCGTTCCTGTTGGTTCTGATTTGTAATCACAGCATGAATGATCGTTACACCTTGTTTACGTCATCTGATTTCGCTGATTTAAATGAATGATGAAGGTAGTTTGTTTCACTCGCTGCTGCATCAGCTCTGTTTGGGTCTTAAACTGGAAAAGTTACATATTTGTCAGGATCGATTCATTTTTTTTGAGGTTTTTACTCAAATGAACTAATTTGTGTGGGATCATAGTTTCTTTTACAAACGTAAAGGATTTAAATGGACTGCTGTGATTGAACCGATGTGATGATGATGAAGGTGTGTTAGTGTGTGTGTGTGGGTGGGGTGGGGTGGGGTGGGTTGGGGTGGGTGGTGGTTAATGTCAGACGTCACAGAGCTGCTGTCATGTGGTCTCAGCCACACAGTGACAGACATGAGAGAGGAGCTGCTGTCCTTGTGCGCCCTCGCCTGTCCGAAAGAGGGAAAGGGCCCCCGAGCAGCAGCGACAGCCCCCCCACCCCCACCCCCAGCCCCAGCCCGGAGGCTGGAGGACATTCCTTTGGCTTTCTCCTCTGCTCTGAAAAGGAAGGAGGGGGCGATTATCTGTCTGCACCTCTTTAAGGTGAAGTTCAACATAGTTTTAGAAACAACCAAGTCACTCCCAGAGGGTCAAAGGTCACCCTGAAAATGAACCATAAAAATGAGCAGAAACGTCCTCCTGAGTCAGAGAGGAAACAACCAAAGGAATTCCTCTCATTTCCGCATTGAAGGCTTTTCCAAGAGCCAAGTTGGGAATGTTTCTGCATCTGTGTGTGTGTGTGTGTGGGGGGGGGGGGGGGGGGGGGGGTTGTTGAGCTTGTCGGATAACAACCGATGAGGCACGAGCAGATTCCATCCAACACAGAGACACATTCCCTTCTCGTTTGGACAGAGGTCTGTTCTTAAATAAATAAATGTTCCTAATTTTTGCAAAGTGCCGCAGACTTTAGTCAGAATTACGGGTCCTGCGGTGCATTATGGGACCTCGTGATTCTGCAGAGACAGCTCGTTGCGCAACAGATGGATGACCTTGTGCCTTTACAGAAGTTATATAGTGTGTGTTTAAGATAGACGGAGGATGGGTTTGCTGATGTCCTCCTCGTGATGAAATGATGCGTTCTGGTGGAACCGAGCTGTGCGCATTCTTGTGCCAAAGGTGTCTAGTTCTCCAGGGGGGACATCAAAGAGATGGGGGAGGGGGGCGTGCGACAGACGCTGCAGAATGCGCCCCTCAGGTTTTACTAGCCAGCCCAACTTGAACTTGACCATGGAGTCTGCGCAGTAGCAAAATCCAAGCCAAACCCTGAGCAGCCCGAGTCCGACAGGAAGCCGTGATTCTGCTGAAGAATCGTTCATCGATGATGGATCTGATAGAAAAACACTAAGAACCTGGGAGAGAGAATAAATATTATAACTGAAACAGAAAAGTCTGGCCTCTGCTTTATGGGAGTGGCCCTTCCCTTTTCGTTGTCTCAACTTGGCCTTGAAACGGGATGACGCTGCGAGAAGAGGGTTAACGGTCTGACCTTCGAGCGAAACGAGTCCCGGTGACTAAACAGCAGGAAGTCCCTGCGCAGCGTTGGAGCTTAGCACGCCGCAGAGTTCAGGCCTTACCCAATTAAAGTGTGTGTGTGTGTGTGTGTGTGTGTGTGTGTGTGTGTGTGTGTGTGTGTGTGTGTGTGTGTGTGTGTGTGTGTGTGTGTGTGTGTGTGTGTGTGTGTGTGTGTGTGTGTGTGTGTGTGTGTGTGTGTGTTGGGGGGGGGGTGTCTTTGTTTACAACCTACCTTGCAGTCGCAAGGCGAAACAGCTCTGAGCGTGTCTGGCATCTTGGAGAAAGGTGATATTTACAAGTCTTTTATTTTTAGGGGGTGTCATCGGTTCCGTTCTTTGTTCCACGCGCTGTTCTTGGTGCTTTTAATTTTGAAGTCGCTGCTTCTTGGTCAAAGATTTTCACATCTGTGTTGAATTTTATATCTAGTCATTTTTCAGATTGAATTGTATCAGAATATCAGATTAAACCAGGATGATCACCGAAAATGCATGCTGGAGGCCTATAAACGCATCAAACGGGACTCTGCCAAGGCTGTTTATATATATATATATATATATATATATATATATATATATATATATATATATATATATATATATATATATATATATATATATATATATATATATATATTGTTTCCATTTAAATTAGTAAAAACTTCTCATGGATCTGTGTCTTTTATTTATTCCTCTAACGTTTCTGTGGGTCAGCTTGATGGTTCTGCACCCAGAGACAGAAAATACTTCTGAATAATGAAAAAAGTGCCAAACACGATGGTTAATTATTAATACTGAACATCACATTTATTTTGCAGTTTGTTGCAGATGCCACATGAATTTGTGAGAACATCACCTCCTTTGTAAAATAAAACCTAAGCAAAAATATTTTAATAAATTAAACTTCATGTCAACATTTAAAAAATCAATGCTGCAACTAAATATTAAACAATGATGTGAAAATTTAAATAACATTTTTCAAATGGAAATATTTTTAAAATTCAGTAAATTATTTTCGTTTAGCAGCAACGCAAAATTATCGTGCTAACTGTTTTTAAGCTGCATGCTATCAATGCTTCACTTATTGATAATAATAATAATACTCTCGCTGTTCGGCGTGTAAGTTCTTTAATTATGGTTTTAGGAACGTTTTTAGATAATAACAGAAGTGCAGACATATTCGTCTCCCTGCTGTATAACTAATTTGACGCGCAGACCTTCATGTTCCCTGCTTTATCTCCTGTCAGCAAGCTTGTTTGTCCACACGCCTTGTAGGCCAGAGCTGATGAAGCCCATTTACGCACCATCTTAGACTCAGTTGCAGGAAAAGTCCAAATATTCCAGCAAAGGAGCCATTTCGCCTCGCGCCAAGTGCGAACACACGAGGAGGAAACCTCTATGGTGGCTCTGCTCTCCCTGTTATTTTTATGCAAGCCGTCAACGCGCATATGGAATGGTCCAGCGCGTGCCCGCCCTGTCGTTCCGACCCTCCACCGCAGAAACATATTAGCTGTTATGACTGACAGCTCTTTGACAGCTTCACGTGCCATCCGCATAGCTGGAAAATGGCTACAGGGTCACAGAAGCTGTTTGTAAAGCCGAGACTCGTAAATGCAGCTTCATTTTGCATCGTTTCGTCTCCAAAACGATGAATAATTCCAATTTCGACAAACTTTGGTGCTCAGGACAATTATGAATCTGAGACTTGATTTGAGAAAATATTTTTAGCCCCTACATGTTCTCTTACGCACGATAAACAAACACTTCTGTCATCCTCCGTTTTTATTCTTCACGCAACTGGAGCAGGTTTTCTGTGGTGAACAGTATCGAGAGTTTGGCGCGCGCCGCTCATTGTTCTCCCCAATCTCATGATCACATGCGCGCGCAAAAGGCCACCATGAGGACTCAGGTTGTGCTACTGTTCTCTCAACACAACGAATTAAAGAATACGAGTAGAACAAACCCTGAGCCATCACGAGGTATGGAGCAGGGTGAATAAACATTAACTTATGGAACAGTTAATGATTAACGTGTTCATTCTGCAGCCTGATTTGCTCTCTGAGGTTTAAAAAGCGCCACAAGGCAGCAACAGGCAGGGCCCTGCACCATGACTCATGTTGTTGCTGCATGTTGCTGCTGGATGATTTCATTTTTTGGTCTTTTTCTGGTTGATAAGATAAAAACCTGACTACTGTGTGCGTCGCTGTCCTCGCACCAGGGCAGAGCCAAACTGGTAAAGGCGAACTGCGAACACAAGGATATAGATACGCGTGCCCTTAAGAAACTAGGTCTTTACGCATGTGAACCTACGGAACCCATGGTGAAATGTGACTTGTTGTGGAACCAAAGTTGGTTTATTTTGCATATGCACGCGTGTGCACTTTTACAAGAATCAGAGCTGGTGAAAAACAAAGTTGTAGCTGAAATTTAGATTCTAGATGACATAAAATTAATTAAATGTCAAATTTAGGTGAAACAGCAACGCTTGGAGGTAAAATAGACCGACCGAATGTAAACAACGTGACACATCCATGCTTTAGTCTTTTTGATCTGATCAAGGCGGTTCAAATAAAACACATTTGCTGTTTTTATTCACACATATTTATAAATCCTAAAACTTCTGATCAAAACGGAACATTTATTTTTTTCTGCTTAATTCTAAAGCTTTTCAGGACCTCGTTTGCGCCAAACGTGTGCTGCACTTGCAGCTCGGTTTCCACAAACCGAACAAAACCAGAATGTGATGTTTGTCACAGCAAAAATAAATAAAAAAAATTAAATCTGAAGTGATCATAAGTGTGGTTCTTTGCACAAACTTTGGCTGAAAAGGGTCAAAAGCGCTTCCTGTAAATTTAAATATTTCCACACAAAGTCAGTGGGTGCTATCAAGTCACACACACACACACACACACACACACACACACACACACACACACACACACACACACACACACACACACACACACACACACACACATTTTCGCACATATCGGACAGGAAACCACCACAAGAGCCACAAATATTTCTAAAAAGACGCAACAAGGTTCCTTCTCGGTTTTACTTCTTTTAATTTCAGTCGGAGGTCGTCGGTTTGGCTCAGAAGTCACGCGGAGCGGCTACCGACGTGTCCGTGTGAGAAAACAAAAATAATGACAGTAAAAGTTATTGTCCTCCAGCCGCTTTCATTGGGACAGGAATTCTCCCTCCTCTTCCGCCCTTTTCAAGAGTCAGACGGTCCCCTAAAAGCCTGAATAGCGCGGCGGGCTGGATGGCTAGACAGCAACTTTCAACTTGACCTTGGCCTCCAGCCGCGTCTACCTCCCATATGTAAAACACAGTTGCGTCCAGGAGCTGCGCTCTCACTTTGCATGCTGTAAACAAGTCGGAAGCTGCGTCTGGAATACCCTTAAAGTACAATAAATCAGATTTAAGTTGTCTTTTCCACAACTTTATATAAGAAAATCACATCTGACTTTGTGGAATTTATGTCTTATGTAAATGGCTTTTCCTGTGGCCGTGTTCCCGTGCGTCAGCGCGCCAAAAGGTGGATTTATTCTATTTAAATCGTGTGGAATGCAGGCTGAAACAGGGTGACACCACTTTAACGTGCCGGTTTGGTAGAAACACAACCTGTGATTGTATGTGGTCGTGTCTGAGCGCAGATAGATGTAGGGCGAAGACAAATGGTGGTCAGCGTGTGCGTAAAAACCTGAACCGGCTGAGTCAAAGGTTTATCATCATTATTATTAGAAATAACATCAGAAAGATAAACAGACACTTATTTTTGAGCCTCACATAAAAAATAAATCTGGTCAAATGGAAATATGACCACATTTTGTGTTTTAAAAACTGGAACAGCCCATAATTTAGACCCCAGCATCTATTTTCATGTCTCTTTGTTCAAAAAACGCACCATCCAAAAGCGAAATCCCTCCAACGATCACCTTCCTTCGCCGCATTATTTTCCATTTAATTATCTGCTGATGTTTACCGTCCTCTTTGCATACATCCCGGTCACGTGACGGCGTCCGAACCAATGGGAACGCCACCTCCGCGCTCCTGTGCGCGTCAGAGTGGCTCTCGCTGCCAGAGAAGCAGCGTCTCCTTTTTTCAGTCCCTGGGCTTTTTAAAAAAGACTCAGAAGCTTCAATGTTGGATGCCGTGCTATGACAACGTCACTGCTGCTCCGTCCTCGCTGGGTCGACCCGTCGGTGATGTTCCTCTACGACAACGGGGGTGGTTTGGATGAAGTGAGCAAGAACATGGAGGGTTTCGCTGGTAGCAACTTTGCTGCGAACCAGTGCAGGAACCTGATGGCGCACACGGCGTCCCTGGCATCCAGCACTGCGTACCCGTCCGGCGACGCGCCAGCTTCCAGTATGGGCGAGCCTGGAAAGCAGTGCAGCCCTTGCTCAGCGGCTCAGAATTCAACCAGCGCGTCCCTGCCTTACAGCTACTTCGGTTATCCGTGCAGGATGTCGCATCACAGCAGCATTAAGTCGTGCGGGACGCAGCCTCCTTCTGCGTTTGGAGACAAATACATGGACACGTCCGCCTCGGGCGACGATTTTCCCTCCAGGGCAAAGGAATTTGCTTTTTATCCAACTTACCCCTCGGGTCCATACCAACCTGTCCCGAGTTACCTTGACGTGCCAGTTGTTCCGAGCATCAACACGCCGGCTGAAGCCAGACACGAGCCGTTGCTGCCCATGGAGAGCTACCAGCCATGGACTCTAGCTCCAAACGGCTGGAACAGCCAGGTCTACTGCGCCAAAGAGCAGCCACAGCCCGGACATTTGTGGAAGTCCTCCATACCAGGTATTCACAATAACCCAAACCCAACAGACAACGTTGGTTAACGTGTTTACGCGCCACTTCGCAGAAAACAACATTATCTCCAGAAATGTATGAATGACAGTAACTGCCTGTACCTGCATAGCAGATCCACTCCTTTCAGGTCACCGTCTTGTTGCGCAAATATTGTGAATGAATTTGTGCAAAATATAAACACTTTTAAACATTTTTGTTAGTAAAAGTCTTTTAATTATTGTATGAAATCACAAATCCTCCACTTTACTGTAAAGATCTAATCACAGAGAAGTCTTTTCAAACGTGAGTAGCGATGAGAGACCAGGATGAGGTCTGAAGCTGTTCCTGACTTCTTCTTCTTCTTCTTGTCCTTCCCTGCCAGACGCAGTGACCCACGCCGGGGGAGACTCCGGCTCGTTCCGACGCGGAAGGAAGAAGCGCGTGCCATACACCAAGGTGCAGCTGAAGGAGCTGGAGCGGGAGTACGCAGCCAATAAATTTATCACGAAGGACAAACGCAGGAGGATATCAGCGCAGACCAACCTGTCCGAGAGGCAGGTGACTATATGGTTTCAGAACAGACGCGTAAAGGAGAAGAAGGTTGTCAACAAATTGAAAACTATCAGCTAGTTTACATATTTTTATTATTTTCTTTCCGAATGGACATAATCATTTTGGAGATACACAGACACGTTTGGACACATGGATTAGGACAACACGCTTCCTTTCTGATTCAAATGTTCCAGGCAAATGATTTCCTCCTGGAACAGACTTCCCGGGGCCTGGGAAGGCCGGACCATCCTTTTCCTGACACGTGTCCGTAAATGTTTAAATATTCAAACGGCAAAGAAGAAACATAGCATAGCGGCAGTTTGCAGTTTGTGTGACGTTTCCCCTCCTTTTGGCATGCTCACTGTAAAGCGCCACCGAGCTTCAACTTTACCCCACCCAGAGATGTCAGGAGGTTCTGGACCTGGAACTGTCAAATATTAATCAGTCCTGGCATCCATTCGTAATGTCTTACGTCGTGCTTGTAGCTTGTATGAAGTCTAGTCTTATATGAATCCAAGCTTTCCTTCATTTCCAGTCTGTGGTGCAATTTTTTTATTATGATGCTTAGATAATCGTTCTGGAGATGTCATTCATTTCAATCCTCAGCTCCTGTAATGCGTGTATATATATATATATATATATATATATATATATATATATATATATATATATATATATATATATGTATATATAGTAAATTTCGGCATTCCGTGATGATATTGTGTTTACGTCTATTGTGTTAAAGTCCGTCCCTGAATTAAAATGTGTTAAAATTTTATCCAAATTTGTTTGAAATACATTTTTTTTCTTTGGTAATTTTCTGGTTAAAATGCAAACTTAATTGTCTTCTTTTATTTATTTTTCCGCACGAGCCAGTTTGTTGTTTGGATTAGGTTAGGGTTTCACTCGTGACTGGAAATAGATTTACTGAGTCTGTAAACTTTAGCGGTTAGCCCGGGAAATGATTTATTTATTCTCTTTAAATTTTTTGTTGTTGGAAATTATTCTTAACGACTCATTGTACAAATAATAATAATTTTAAATTCTTTGTTTGCTGTAAAGAGGGAACAAAACTGGTTGAGTGAAGTATAGGCAGACATCGCCATCTAGCGACCGTTTAGTGTCATAATCCTGTTAAACTGTAAAGTATCAAAGACTGCGCTTTTAGGCCTGAATACGACTTGTGTTAATAGGCATTCACAAATATTACAATTAATAATATTAACAACGAAAACAGCCATAGTAATAAAACACACACACACAGTATATATCTATATCTATATCTATCTATATCTATCTAGCTATCTATCTATATCTATCTAGCTATCTATCTATCTATCTATATATATATATATATATATATATATATATATATATATATATATATATATGTGTGTGTGTGTGTGTGTGTGTGTGTGTGTGTGTGTGTGTGTGTGTGTGTGTGTGTGTGTGTGTGTATGTATGTATATTCACAATCATAATAGCAATATCTGCATACGGTTTATGCATGTAAACAAACACAAGTATAAGTAAAAGTAAAATACTTATTTATTATAGAATAATCCCATTTTGAACACACACTCTAACATCCGTACGTAACGAGAAAATGACAAGCATAAACGATAACAGACCGTAATACAGTTATGAAATGACAGATAATAATGATAATAAGGGACATTATTGTATTTATGTAAAACTGATTTCCAGCTCAAGTTAAACCTTCCAGTCCGCTAAAGACGCACAAGAACGTCAAACTTCCGCATCTCTGATTTTTCTGACTTTACATTTTAAAACACTTTCTTTGAACCTTTCAGAACCAGAAAGCTTTCCAGTCCTCCCCTCTTCGAACAAACACGATAAACTTTTCTTCATCAAACTTACGTTTGTGTGTGTATGTTTGTCACGAGACTGCTGATATTAATTATATTATTTACGTTTTACACGTTATTCTAGTTATGTGTACAAAATGTTGTTTTAAATGAAATAATCAAGATCAATTTTAAGCCTAAACGATCACGTCTAAGTGTGTGTGTGTGTGTGTGTGTGTGTGTGTGTGTGTGTGTGTGTGTGTGTGTGTGTGTGTGTGTGTGTATGTGTGTGTGTGTGTTATAGATCTCGTGTCATTCTATCTGTTTGATTTTGTAAACACTACATAAACTTAACATGTTTTTGGTATTTTAACTACGAATATAATCACGTGACTTCATGCGTTTTAATATCTTATTTTTTATGTACATCGGCGCCTAACATGATTTGACATCATTTCTGTAAAAAAATATATATTAAGTGTGTGTGTGTGTGTGTGTGTGTGTGTGTGTGTGTGTGTGTGTGTGTGTGTGTGTGTGTGTGTGTGTGTGTGGATTGAAGTCCCACTAATCCAAACATCAGCCGTGGGAAACCATAAAGTAAGTAAAAGGTGAGACCAAGGCTGAGCTGTCTGCAGATCACTTTTTACATTTTATATAAATTTAATTAAACGTGTATTTACTGTTATAGCTGACAATAACAGCTGTACAACAACACAACTATAACAATAACAACAACAACAACAACAATAATAATAATAATAGTAATAACAACAACAACAACAACAACAATGATAATAATAATAATAATAATAATAATAATAATAATAATAATAATAATAATAATAATAATAATAATACATGTTACTTAAACATGTAAAGTTTAATTGATAAGCACCATTTTTGCACGTTTCATCTTTAGAATTTTTTATTTAGTAAATGAATGTTTCATGATTCAGTAACAAAAATAATAAAAAGTTTAATAAAACTCACAAACATCATTTAGTCATGCTGACTAAACGAGCAGAGCCGTGTGCGTGTGTGTGTTTGTTCGTCACGTTCAGATTGACTGACAGCACGCTCTTGAGAACGTCACATATAGCGTTCATGTGTTCCCTCTGATGTGATGTGGGAAAGTGAAGCGCGCATGCGGACTAAGGATGAGGTGGAGAGAGAGAGAGAGAGAGAGAGAGAGAGAGAGAGAGAGAGAGAGAGAGAGAGAGAGAGAGAGAGAGAGAGAGAGAGAGAGAGAGAGAGAGAGGATTTTTTCTCAGGCAAAAAGAAAGCCGGCAGACACATACATGACGTCACATTGAATGACGTTCATTCGCCGTAAGTGACCAGTCAAGCGTCTCTTTGGTTGAACAGAACCAAAACAAACCTCTAAATCCCGCCCCTTGTTTAAACGTCACGTGACGCTCATCCTTCATCTTTAGTCACGTGAGCATCCAACACGTTCGCCAGAGAAGGAATTGGAATAATTGAGCTCTGCTGCCACCCTCAGGATACTCCGCCAACGACAGACACTTAGGATTCTTCTAAAGGGCCAAAATAAAATTATCTGTCTAGTTCTAGTTTATTAGTTTAACCTAATTACCAGAATTCATGACAGAAAACAGCTTTGTTTGTATCGTTTGTGTTTAAAGGCTCTGTAACAAATAAAAGCAAGCCTCCTCTGGGCCAGGGGTCATTAGACTGACTGGATCTTTACGCAGAGCTGATTTTCCACGCAGCTCCAGGAAGCAGAGTCCTGGGCCTGAGCTGAAGACCGAGCCGCGCCGCTGCTCTTTACATTGACCTTCGCTGCCTTCCTCCCTGCTGCTGGTCCTGAGCACGATCATGTCTCCCACCAGCGACCTGCAGACAAAAGAGCATCCAAGAGCGAGACAAGGTCAGATAGAGGCCCCTCAAGTTCCTCCTCTGGGATCAGATTATGTCTGGTGGGGACAGAAATGACAAATCCTTCATGTAGACTTTAATTTGTGGGAAATGAAAAAATTAAACATTGTGTTTGCAGATCATCTGTAGAGCTTTCTGCGAACGGAGGCTTAACATATTGTCTAAACTGCAACAAAAATAATTTGCATTTGATCTTTTTAACGTTACAGAGACTTAAAATATTCCAGATTATTTCAGATTATTCTTGCTGTTAATTTCGATCTTTCCTTCAAAGTTAGAACAAAGAAATGTTTTTTTTCTTCCATAAAGACTTTTATGTCGCTTTGACTCAAATCTAAAACACGATGGGACTTTTTCAGATTTTTTAACGTCGAAGCAGATTGCACGTGAAAGCATCATTTACGCAAATTTAAACGCAAACGGCTGCGATTTTTTCATTTAAAACAAGAAAGTAAATTTTTGTATCTCATGCCCAGCTGGCCTTGATGAGACTTGTTCCTTCTCTTATTGTTTTTATTTGATGCTTTCAGAGTTTTGTTGCTTCACATTTTTCAAGTTTTAAATTATTTCAGATCTTCAGAATGAACTTTCTTGCTTTTCTGAGACTTTGTTTTTAAATTCCTCTTTAGCAATTTGGGATTATTAAGTATGGGATTATAAATATTTTTGAAAAAATAATATTTTCGAATATTTACATTTTCATTAAATACCACAACTAAAAAGTAAAAACTAAAAGTCTGATTAGGGTTTCACGCGCAACTGAACAGACTAAAATAACGCAAGAGCGCAGCATAGAAAACAAATTTGTGCGTAAAACCACCTGAATGATTCGATGTGTAACGCTCTGAATGCGCTTAATGACCAAATTTCTCAAATCATTAAGAAAAACGGAGGATTTCTGAAGGCAGTGGATCAAAAAAAAAATTTCAAACGACTCTAAAACTGCAGTTTGTTAGTCTTCTAGATGAATATTTAACAATAATTGTCCATGTGTCCTCCTATCCTGAAGTCCAAATGTGTTCCCCGGAGTCTCGTTGACCGTGGAGTTGGTCGGTTCCTCTGTGGGGTCCGCCTGCCGCCATCACGTCCTCGCCATCAGCAGACAGCTCACATTTCTGTCACCTGTGGATACATCAGCAGCTGAATCTGGGTCACGTTTAATTGACCCGCACAGGACGTTTTCGTTTGCGCGCAGGCCGAGATTAAAAGCACAGTGAAGGCCGAGCCAGCACGCGCGCCATGGCAGCAGGCTGCGCAACTCAAGTTCAACATCGTTTCATGTAAGAGTTAAAATTAGATTTAATTCCACTCCTTTAATCTTTTGTTATTTTATTCCCACTTCGGCCTCCCTTTCAGACATTTCCACAGCTTTTCAATTTCCACTCCAAAAGGACAAAGAAGCTTTCATTCGCAGGTGTGGTGGCCCATTTTCAGCCATAAAATGAAAACAAAACCCTGCTTTGGTCAGGCTGCGCGCTCTTTATCCCTCCTAAAGGCTGAAGCTACAGGAGGCGTCTTCAAGCGGACTCAATGCGCCTTTAGCCTCGTTTACAGCTGGTCTACCTGACGTGGCATTAAACTGTACTTTCCAGTTCCCCTTCCCTCCATACTTGACTGTTTGCTTGTTGTCTGGCGAGCTATTATGGACAAAACCTCTGTCTTTTGGCGCAAAAGACTTGTGTTTAAACGTTTAAAACGCGCCGAAGGTCTGATGCGTAAAATGCGGCTTTAGTGTGAGAAGCAATGCGCCAAAGTAAATACACTGAGTTGTCCTGGTGAGCAATTAACTGATTAGTCTTGGTTATTTATTACCAATAACCTCAAGCAGACCGCCAGTTAAACGGTAAGAAATTAGCTGTATTTCCGAAAAGCTGCATTTTTTATAAATCTGGCACGGATCAGAATTATTTTGAAATATTTAGATATAAAAGTAAATCCAGATGAATAACCTGAAGTTGGTTCTAGCATGCCTGCTTGTCTCTAATCCTGTAAACTACAGCCCGACTGATGCAAAGGTAATTATAGCAGAACTCCATCCGGGGCACAGAGGGCCCTTTGCTCTCCTGTGAAAAGCCCCTCTTCCTCCCCCGAACTTGAAGTCGACCGTACAGACAAAGCGTTGCCTTTGAGGGCTTTTAACGCAGCGCCAGACTGCAGGTCTGCTGCAGAACCAGAACCAGAACCAGAGCTCCGATCAGAGGATCTGCTCAAACGACTTAATAAAAAACACATTTGTCATAAAACAGGACCGAAACTTGTCCTCCTCTCTGTTTACATCTAACTGCATGTGTGAAGCTGGAGGAGAGAAGGTCTTACCTTTCAGCTGAAAACGCGTTACTGGGTATTTCTGAGCTTCTCAGCTGACTGAGTCCGCGTAGGTGGCGACTTCCTATCCCACTTGGCCCGTTTTGTGGTGTCTGTCTGGCTTTTGGGGGGTTAAGGAGAACACTATAGCAGCTATAAAACGCAGGTCTGTGCAGAGCTGGCTTTGGCTTTCCCGGGCATCCTGGCCTCAATTACAGCTTAAAAGCGTCAGCAGGACTCGTAGAGTTTGTATGAGAGGCGGAGCGTGAGACTGCAGAAACACCCGAGTCGTTTGTGTCGCTGCAGCTGAATCAAACCTAAAAGGGCAGTAAAGGTTCGTATCAAACGCTGCTTGGGTCTTTTTCCTCTTTATCCCATGTTTGATACACTCACGCAGCATTAGTGTGTGTGATATTTCAAGGTTGTGTTTCATGTGTCACCAGGTGCCCACTCGAGACCCACTGCACATCGGGCTGTGGGGGCCAGAGCAGCCACGGCGGTCTTAATCCGAGCTCAGGTCTCTCATTCACAGCACATTAGAGTCAGGTTGCAGCCTCCCGGGTTCATGGTGGCCCACAGCAGAGCGCTGGGAAGGCGCAATGTGGCGAGTTTACCAAACCAAACGTTTTGCCAGCGATCCTGATTTATTTGTGAATAAACTAAATTATTTCATGGGGGAGTTGATCACGTTCATGGTTTAAATTGTGGGATTTTATTGATGCATTTATTTAAATAAAACCACCAGAACTGTGCAGGGGCCGGGTTTTACCTCCGTGCGCAAAGTGTGTTAATTCTTCGCATGTTTAAGGCATTGGTTCTGTTTCAGGCTAAAGACAAACACAGCAATTCTAAATGAAGTGCTGAAACTGACCAATGTATCCACACAGCAGCTGGTTTTGTTAGATTCTCGCAATTGTTTCCCAACAAATTAGCAGCTATTTGTTTTTAGATTTTGACGCAAATGTTGCGATTAGGCCGTGCGTAAAAGTAGAAGGGGTTTGAATGTTGCGACTAACGGAGCTGCTCTTGGCTTTAGATTATTGTTTTTAAATTCGAGCTAAATCTCAACAGCGTGGAGGATTTTATTTCCATCTGATGTATTTTCATGTTTCATGAAGCAAAAGTCATTCAGAAAACAATATATATCAGTTAGTTTTGCGCGCTTTTCACTATAACCTTTTGGTTATTTAGGTTCGTCTTATTTCTAACAGGAAATGTTTAATTTGTGTTTAGTCATGAAATAAAAACGTGAGGTCATGAAGGGTTTCATATATTTAATCTCAATGGTTTTCATGTTTATTTATTTAAAAACAACCTGTCTGCTTTGGTGAACGGAACAATGGAAACCTTTGGTTGGCATTGAATCCTCCGAGGGTTTTACTTGCTGAAGCAGCAGCCGCTACTTTGAACATGACCCTGATAGCCAAATGCTCGCAGAGCCAAATGCTACGTTGTAAAATAACCAAACGATGATGACTGAGAGTCTGAGCGCAGCCTTTAGAAACAAGCTGCTCGTCTCCTTCATCCAACAAAAAGGTCTGTGTCATGTCCACAGCGAGCGCCTGTTGGCCCACTCTCAGTGGGACTTAGGGCGCAGCACTTTTTATTATTACTTCCTGTGATCACATAAAAATACCAGGAGAAAAACGGAAAAAGCACGAATGGATTAAAGCGCCAGATTAAATCGCACATTTGATCTAATTTGATCTAAACCTGTAAAATAAATCTGGTGTTTTTGCTTCCAACCAGGCTTTTGTCCCCCTGACTCATTAGCTTCAGACTGAATATTAATTAGAATCTGACACGATAATAAAACACCAATATCAGGCTTCAGGACACACAGCAGTTATGTCTATCCACTCCTACACACTCCTCTGTCCAAAGAATACACACCCACACGCACACGCGCTCGCACGCACACACACACACCCAGCGAGTCTGAAAATCTGTCAATTTCTGCCGCGTGGTCACGTGACCTCCTCCTCCGTGGAGTGGATGGAGATGGTTCTCCACGTCAGCTTACGTCTAAATGTCTGCTTAGCGAACCTGCTTGAAAGAGGCTCGGCGCTCCAGAGCCATGTTCAGGGCGGCTCTGCAGGAATCCAACCCCAACAACGCCTTCTAGGAGCGGCGGAGCAGCGATGATGGATTTTGACGAGCGGGTTCCTGTCGGCTCCAACATGTATCTGCCCAGCTGCACTTACTACGTGTCGGCGGGGGCTGATTTCTCCGGTCTTCCGTCGTTTCTGTCCCAGACCCCGTCCACACGCCCCATGACATATTCCTACTCCTCTAACCTGCCGCAGGTCCAGCCCGTCAGAGAGGTGACGTTCAGGGACTACGCGGGCATCGAAGCGTCCGGTAAGTGGGCGCACCGGGGGAATCTGGCCCAGTGTTACCCCAGCGCGGAGGACATGGTGCATCGGGACTGTCTGTCGGCGCAAACCGCCGTCGTAGGGGACATGTTTGGGAAAAACAGCCCAGCCGCTGCGGCCGCCGCCTACCACCACCACCACCACCACCATGCAGGCGCGGGAGCCGCCGCCGCCTCCAGCTTCTACGGGAACGTGGGCCGGAACGGCGTGCTGCCTCAAGCCTTCGACCAGTTCTACGAGACGGCGTACGGGAACGCGTCGGAAAACGCTTCGGCGAATCCCGCGCTCTCAGGGGACAAAACGGTGAGCAAGCAGCCGGAGCACGCGCCGTCCTGCCGGGACACGGAGACGAAGGAGCAGCGGGATGAAACGAGCAGCCCGGAGTTGTCTTCCGGCAACAATGAGGAAAAACTCAGCAGCAGCAGTAAGTCCGCGCGCTGCTATGATGAGAGAAAGTTTGCAATCTCGCGCTGCTGTTAAAAATTTTATATGCTGTTTTATAAGCATGTAAGGTTTATAGAGGGCCTGTAGACCCCCCCCACTCCCAGCAAAACTTTGTTATAAACTGCAGGATCACGTGCTTGGAGTAGAAATCGGCCGTGAAAGGCAGCAGGTCGGTGATATATTTGGATATATTTGTGCTTTTGTTATGATGAATGTGGATTTCTGCGTTAATCCTGATTAAAGACGCCTGTTCCAGACTTCATGTGCGTTAACGAGCCCCAGAACGAGGGTGGTGGCACACGTATGAGCCCTGTTGGTAGCTTTACGCAGTTTTAGGTCTACAAACAATAATTACGCACAAATACAACTTTAAAGTATAACTTTTTTGTCCAATAAGCAAACAGAAGCACAGCTTTCAGTATAGTTAATTTATTTTTGACTGTTAATCTTCAAGTGAGTGCTTATTTTGAAAGCTGAGTGCATTTGAACTTTTTAACCGTTTTTATTTTTTTGCCTCACAGGTGGACAGAGGATCCGCAAGAAGAGGTGCCCTTACTCCAAATATCAGATCAGAGAACTGGAAAGGGAATTCTTTTTCAGCGTGTACATAAACAAGGAGAAACGACTGCAACTGTCTCGGATGCTCAACCTCACTGACCGACAAGTAAAGATTTGGTTCCAGAACCGACGCATGAAGGAGAAGAAACTGAACAGGGACAGGTTACAGTACTACACGTCCAACCCTCTGCTTTAGGAGTGAGAGCAGCTCCGGTGGTCCCCCCTGCTGAGGGGCTGGCTTCGTTTACAGACTCTCTGGCTCTCCGAGTGGACTCCGTGTTCCACAATGGCCGCGACAGCAGCAATAGCAACTGCTCAATGGTTAATTTCAAGTTCGAGGACACAAGAAACCGTTGATATGAAATGCCTTGAGCCGGAGACGTCCCTTTATTCGATTATGGGGAAAATGTTTAACAATTTCTTCTGCGCTGCCCAAGATTTTCAAAGGCTCACGTGTTTGTTTTCTTTGAAAATATAAAAAAATCAGCCAGTAATTGACTGACCCAGTATTTTGTAATCAAAAGTTAGTTCCTGTCTGTGGCTGGAATCAGAACCGGGTTGGGTTTGAGCAGAAGCCGAACACCTGACGACTGATCGAACATATTGTGACCAAATATTGAAACCAAGCAGATGAGAAGAATGTTTGTGTTTTGTGCTTTATTTATTTTGTAGCCACTCGTTTACTCTCATTTAAAACGCCACAGCTGTCCACCACTCAGCAGTGAGTATAGTTGACCTGCCGCCAGTTTTTGTCCCTTCTGACGTTCCATACTCTTAAAGAGGGCTTATTATTAATATTTCATTCTATTTTTGTTTAACAGACAAGCAGTGCTTGCGCACACCAGAGAGACGCTTGTCCACGTGATCCGTGCGCAGTTGCGTGGAGGTTTATTCAAACAGGTGCTGCGTCAATTTTCAGCGGGCCTCTTTAGTCCGCTAAACATGTTTTAATGGATTTCAGTTTTAAAATAAATTAAATTAAATTAAATTATGCAATTATTTTTAGGACAAAAGCTGGTTAGGGTCATCGCACTGAATCAACAGTGTGGTTCGCTCAGAGCTATTGTGTATTCTACTATATTTCCAAATAAAAACAAATTAAACAATTCTGGAAAATAACTTCTTAAGGTCTGGATTACTTTTAAATCTTATTTCTTTTGCATTTTATTCACACATCTGATTTTAAAGCTGACTTTTGTGTCCGCCAGATCAGATAAGCTATGGGCACTGGAGCCGTTTTACGCAGGAGCAGCACATTAACCGCACATTTGCATCAAAACACTGTCTCACACACACACACACACACACACACACACACACACACACACACACACACACACACACACACACACACACACACACACACACACACACACACACACACACACACACACACACACACACACACACACACACACACACACACACACACACACACACGAGTATGAAAATGATTCAATACTTGTTAGATAATTACATGAAATGATGCATACGGATAACGCATTTATACAGATTACATTTTTGTAAATACAACTTTAAATGTCAGTAAATGTTATTTTTCACGCAGATTTGGTAAAATGAAAACTTGAAAGCAGATTAAAAGAAGCCAAACAGATGCGGAAAAGTGGAAAATGCGTATTTTCGGTTTTGTGTGGGTGTTTTTCTATTGTTCGTTTTTATTTCTAAGGAGAGATTAACCAAACTAATGTGACTTCTAGAGCCAGCGATATCCACCAAAATCATCACCTTGCACCAGTCTCTGGGTGATTTTCCTCGTGCGTTGGAGATGCTCGTTCAACAGCAGCCTCCTTTGGCGAGGGTCGCCATATTTGCTGTTGTTATCACAGTGTTTACGAGGGCTGGCCGCAGCGCATTGGCGTTCATATATGACAGTCAAAAGGGCCATAAACGCTGGGAGAGAGGCTGAAGTTTATGGTTGCCTCTCTCCACCATAGTCCGGCCTTGCCTTGCGCATCCTTTACTGCGCGCAGGAATTCCGTCCCTAATTATAGGGACATCCTCCCCGTTGCCAGAGCAACGCGGCCATAAAAGCTGTCTGAGAGTCTGGAGCATTTGTACAATTGGAGTGCGGTGCAATAAACCGTCTGAGACCCAAGGTTATTAACTGTGTTTCCAAGGAGGCAACGGATTAGGGGCGCATTCTGCTCGATGGACGCAGTCGCTTCATTTCAGAGACTCTGGGCTCCTCGTGAGGGTTCATCCTGCTCGGATTGGTTGGTGAGGCCTGCACGCTCCTGCCACCGGGTGGCGCTATTGAGACCAAAGTCACGGCCTTGGATCCTTTGAGTAAAGCAGGTAATGGCTGCTTAGAAAACATAAAACAGGTTTTAGTTTGCTGCAGAATCAATAACTAGCTGATATGCTCCGCTCTCCTGCTGTTGGGATGATTCTAAGTTAGGATCTGAAGGGAAACCTTTTCCTAGAGCCCCAATAAGGTCACGCGGGTGTGCCAAGGCTTCATGCTGCACGTGCTTTTCATTTTGCTGAGCTGGACGTTTTTAATTGTTTAGCAGAACCAGGTCGTACCTGGAAGGTTACAGCGACTGTTTTAGATTACACTCAGCGATAGAGGGGTGTGTTGGTTTCCTCAGTAACAGCACGTGCTCCTTCTCCTTCCACCTTAATGAGAGTGTGCGCCAAAGCTCTCAATTATCAGAAATCAGGCTGCGATTCGTTTCCTTCGTGAACTTTGGCTGCTCGGTGTCAGTTTAAGAGCAGAGCGCCTGGGTCTGGACCCTCTCCTCCTTTGTCTCTCGTGAAAAATAAATGCTTCCGCTGGATGTAATAAAACGCTGCATTATTGTTCATAACAGCACTCAGGACGAACATGATCCGAGTCAAACGGCCTCCTCGGCCACGATTATATGGGCCTGATCAAAGCCAGTGGTCAGAGTAAAGTGTTTCCAGGATATAATAGCTCGGCAGCTGTGGAAATGAAGATTTAATAGCTACAATTAATAACTGTAACACAAAGATATCGATAGCAGCCCCCCACCTCCTCTTGCTCCTTCAGCACCGTCAGGCTCACGGGCCAAAAACAAACGCGTGTCCGTTATTAATCGATTGGTTTGGTTTCTTCTCTGGATCAAATGTCCAAGAAAGAAACAGGAAACTGAATAATCCCTTTGTCTGGATCTCTCGTAGGAAGTTCGAGGAGAACAAACACCGCGCCTGTTTGTCCCCAACAGATTATCATCCATAAAATGCAATTTAAGATTAAATAAAAGTTTCACTTTCGATTTACAAAAAGTACAGATTTGCTTCCTGAGCAGCAGAAATGTGCGCGTCGAAAAACGGCTCCAAGTCAGCATTTTACAGGCTTTACGCGGGTTTTCCTGAGGCGCGTCAGCTGGTCTGTTGATGTAAAAACTCTAAAGCAAGATAACTTTAATCTGAAAAATATTTTAGATTTTTACGGAGTCTAATGGTCCAGCACGAGACGGAGTTTTAGGTCGCTCTGACAGGAGGACCTGTGCGTAATTGCTGCACAGGGCAATCTCCCTGAAGCACAGATGTACGAAAATAAATTAAATAAAAATCTTATTCAACTCAAAATACTTTTCCGCATTCATTTTTGCAAAGTTGTCAAATCTATTACATCTCTGGAATTATAATCTGTTGTTATCCTGAATCCAGAACAAACAGAATGTTTTATTTATTTTTATTCATATTTTTTTGATTTTATGAACAAAAAGTGAAAACTAAAAATGTTGAACGTTTTTAATTTTCCTAATAAATAAAAATATTTAATTAAAATACATTTAATTCTGAAATTTAAATAGTAATATTAAAATTAAACCATATTTTAAAACTGTTATTTCAAAGTGTAGCCAAAATAAATAACAACAGTGTATTTATTTTTGTTTAGCGCTTAATTTTTTCCATTTATTTGTGTGTTTTTCTTAAAAAGACATTTAGTGTATGGCAGGACAAACAGATTTTTCTTGTTTTGTTTTGTGATGAAGAATTTCAAATGCGTTCAGGGGCAGAGATGCATCATATAAAACTGCTTTTTAGCCCTATATTGTGTCAGAGGTGGTTTCACACACACGTTTCACACACACTTAAGAGTGCAGCAACACACACTCCAAGCGCTTTGTTATTTGGTGTGTTTGTTGGTGGGTTGCAGCAGCTTTAAACTTGATTTTATAGCTTTACGCACACAGCGCTCTCACCGTGTGCTCTGGTTGTTGCTGATAATTTAGGCTTCAGATGGTTTGGAGGCTTTGGAGATTTTACAGATTAGAACATTTGCTCCGGTCTGTGATTTGTAGTCGGATCTGACTAGCCCGCGGGCCCAAATGTTTCTCAAACTCATTTCTAAAATGTTTCCACCAGTCACGTCTTTCCAGAGTCAGGGGGATTTTTACAGCTGTGGTCGGAGCTGGACTTCGGTCTGGTGATCAGGGTGGTGCATTAAGGCGAGGTGATTGCCCTGCTGTCTTCTTTCTCTGCCTGAACTCCATGATGAATGCTGTTTGGTCTGCTACGTAGGCTCGGAGTGGGCGGGGCCTGCGCGTCTTCCAGCGTTTCCATTGGTTTTACAGTCAGCTCGGTAGAGAGGGGCTGCCTCTAATCATATCCAGCATGTTTTGCACAAGAAATGTCAGCCAGAAAGGGCTACCTTCTGCCTTCGCCAAAATACACCACAATAATGTCATGTTCGGACAGCCCGTCAGGAAACGCCTTTTTAGTGGATTCTCTGATCAGCGGTCGCAGCGAGGGCGGCGGAGGTCACTACACCGGGAGCGCGGTATGTGTGCCTCACAGCACCGCAGCAGAAGTGCCTTACGGACTACACAACTATGGATACTTCCCAGGCATGGCTAAGCGGAGCGAGGTGGCCCACCAGAACATGGTGGCCGCCTCAGGCGCGTACATGTCCAGCATGGAGATGTGGATGGACGCGCAGAGGTCATGTCGGATGGACCAAGAGCAACCAGTGGGTGCCCAGGTCACTCCCTGCGCCTTCCCACAGAACATCAAGGAAGAGAGCACCTACTGCTTGTACGAACAGTCCAAGTGCCCCAAAGCCTCCACCGCCGAAGACCTCACCTATTCCAGATTGACCTCAGCCGGACTCGGCTCCAGTTCTTGCTCAGTTACAGATGGCGGCGGCAGTGGAGGCGGTGGGGGTTCAGTGCCAGTGCCGGGCTACTTCCGCTTGTCTCAGACGCACGCACATTCTCATAAACTTTACAACACCAACGGCCCCCAGTCGAACCCTTCCCATGCCCATTCCCATTTTGGCCTCCACCCCAAGGATCCTGCTCGCTTCCACACGCCACCAACCTCAGCTTCTGCTACAGCCGCCGCGGCGCCGGAAGGAAGGGACACAGTGGAGCACGAGTCCTCTGGAAACGCAGACTTGCAGCATCCTCACGCCACGTCGGGCACCGAGGAGGCGCGTGACTCCTCGGATGGAGAACCTTCCTCGGCGGGAGAAACAGAAGAAAATGAGAAGGAACGAGGAGAAAAGACCAATAAAGGTAACCGGCCAGGTGTGGTCAGACTTGTTTTTGGCAGTAAACAAGGTAGAGCGAGGTGTTTTACTGGCACCTGTCAGGTTTTACAGGTGACAAGTCAGGACACATGTCTGTAGCATTGCATCTGCATGTCCTATGATGCACCACAGCAAAGTTTTCATTTTCTAACAAGTCTCACAGGTTATCTAGTTCATAGAACCTGGAATCTGATTTATTGTGATCATTAAACAAATAAGAATAAATCATGAATTAATCTCTAAACTTCCAGAAAATTACAACCTCATTTATTGAACGCTGCGTAAATGCTGCGTAAGGGCCTCAGTGTGTGAATACGTATCAACTTTACTTCATCAGTGATTCTAATACAATACAGTTCTGTCAGCTGTGGTATTAGTTATATATATATATATATATATATATATATATATATATATATATATATATATATATATATATATATATATATATATATATATATATATTCAAAGTTGGCAAAAGTGCCATCACAGCGAGTGCCTGAGCTTGTGTGCCAACCCTAACCCAATCCTTTGAATTATTTTTGCAGTAAAATTCCCAGCGCCCATCATTTTCACGCAATTTAACAATTTGAACCTAACAAATACACACGGATGCTCGTATATTTATTTGCTGTTTATTCCAAATATTTGCTACGTGTTGCATTCACCATGGATGTCATGTTGCTTTCAGGGGACGCAAAAAGTGAAAACACGGCCAACTGGCTGACTGCAAAGAGCGGCCGAAAGAAGCGCTGCCCGTACACCAAACACCAGACTCTGGAGCTGGAGAAGGAGTTCCTCTTTAACATGTACCTGACCCGAGAGCGCCGCCTAGAGATCAGCAAAAGCGTCCACCTAACGGACAGACAGGTTAAAATCTGGTTCCAGAACCGGAGGATGAAACTGAAGAAAATGACCCGGGAGAACCGGATCCGGGAGCTCACGTCCAACTATGGCTTCTCGTGACGCGCGAGAAAGTGGTCGAATAAAAGCAGCAAGAGGAAAACTTTCCACCTCTTTATCAGTCTCCTTTCATTTCACTGAGACGTGACCTTCTTTTGTCTCTAGACACGCTCCACGTGAGCGCGTGTCTAGAAAATCATATTGAAGTCACACACACACACACACACACACACACACACACACACACACACACACACACACACACACACACACACACACAGACACACACACACACACACACACACACACACACACACACATACACACACACACACACACACACACACACACACACACACACACACACACACACACACACACACACACACTGTAAAGTGGCTGATTTGATATAATTTTTTTCTGCATGATGTAAAGATTTCCTACGCTGACCAGATGTGCTCCATCATGTTATCATGTAAGCTGTAGCCTCAGCCAGGACGCGTGAAGGACGATTTTAATGTATATATGTGTTTTTGTGTCATGTCTAATAAATTATCATCTGATGAGTATTTCTGAACCACACATGGATTTTTGTCCGAGCGTATACCACCAGAGACTTTTTATTTTAAAGGAATTAAACACAATGATACTCTGGGCTCATGCACATCAGAGGTTCACTTGTGTGTTTTGTCTGCAGCTGCTAAAGAACGGAGGTGAACGCTAGTGGAGGGTCGGAAATAATTAAGATATTAGGCTGTAAGCCGCGCTGCTGCATGCCCAGCCGGCTATTGTAGAGTTTTATGACTGGCTGCTATAGAAGCTTTCTCCCTCTCCTCGAAGAGCAGCGTCAGTCGTGAGTGAGCCTTTCGGACGGAGAGGAGGCCCGGCTCACAGCCATACACACACACACACACACACACACACACACACACACACACACACACACACACACACACACACACACACACACACACACACACACACACACACACACACACACACACACACACACACACACACACACACACACACACACACACACACGTGGATAAATTCTGCTCCAAAATCTGGAAAAGCCACCGAGCATCCGGGTGAGTCTGCTGTGATTTTTGATTTTTCTGCGTCTTTGTTCTCGTTGTTTTGATCTTCGTTTAAAAAGAGGATCTGGACACGTGCACGAGCGCCACGGCTCGTTCTGATGTGTCGGGTCGTGTTGCTGCCGAGGCCCGGATGACTGTGAAGTGGTTTAGGTAGTTTCATGTTGTTGGGGTGCTTTTCTGACTCTACAACAGGAAACTGTCTGGATCGCCCCAGTCCCAAACACCGAGAGCGAACCGGAACCGCCTGCAGCTCAGAGATCATGGGGAGGATAGAAAAATCGGTGTTTGGAAAAGCAAGCCTCTGGATGTCATAAACCAGGGAGGGGGTGGGGGTGGCCCGCGGTGTTTTCTCAGATTCCTCCTGCTTTGTTTTTGTTGTGCTGCTTAAGATGATGCATTTGTCTGCTGGTCGGAGCTCAGCTGCAGTGTGCGTCGTGGACTTGTGACTAAAAGCTGGGAGTGTTTTTCTTCTCCTATTTTTTCTAGTGAGTAGTAGTGAGTGACGCAGAGACGCCAGACAAGGCCTCGGTTACGACCACTGCAGTGGAGGGGAAGGGGAAGGTGAATGGGGCAACAGCGACCTCCGTCGGCAATAAGACCGGATGCTTCCACTGCGCAATGGTGGCTCTCACAAAGGGAAGGGCTTTATGGCGATATTTAGATCCGCCAGACAGGCTGTTATCTGCAGAAGCAAAGAGAAGTGAATAGCCCCTGCGGTAAACTGCAGGGTGAAGAAAACACCCTGATTTAGGTTTACAGCCTGAGAGCTGTTGGCAGAGTGGCGTCTGTTCCTGCTGCAAAAGTGTTTGTCTATTCTTGTTTGTCTATTCTGGATTTTAGTGCACAAAAAGGCGCACAGCCGCCCCTATCCTGAACGCATCTTCTGGTATTAAACTGTGCAAATGGACAGCGGGACTGTGCGTAATTGTGCGGTTTTCTCTGACTCTACGTGCGATTTTAATCGCAACAGCAGAATTCAGATAATCTGTGCGTCTGGGATTCTCTGTGGCCTTGTAGGGGTGTTGGCCAGCTTCTCTTTTATTTGCGAGCAATAAATAAACCACATATATGAAATAAAAAAACTCAAGGTTGCCGCAACAAAAACCACCGAAGTCAGTTAAGAAACGCCAAACTGCACACGTACCCTACACACATAATCTTTTTAAATTTTCAGTTTTTAAATAACAAGTTGGCTAAACCCTTTCTAGGAAATTCGCGCTTACTACATACTAATGTAATCCCGTGGATAAGGAATTATATAACAGCTGCGTAACATCCTAATCACGTATGTATTTTCAAATATTGTCCAGTTTTCCAGCGCGTCGATGTTTCCCGTCATAATCATCATCAAAACAGCGTTTTATAAAATAAAATACTATTAAAAACAAAAATGGACAAACAGTTTAGTCCCTGCAAACTCTCCGCACCACCTCCATTTAAAACATGGGAACTAAACACCATTTAAAGATTATTTTTAGCGCCGTTTGTGCGTAAAATTACGCCAAAGCCCAGGCAGCTGCAGGTACTAACGCACTCGTTAATGGCCGCGATGAAGCAGCATATCCGCGATAACGTGGTGCAAAAAATAAACAGATTAACTCTCTGTATTTTATTATTTACTTTTATGAACAAGCACATTTCTTTAAAATGAAACTATATTGTGGATTTGTTTTTGTTTTTTAATATTTTGACTTCTCCAGATAAACTCTAAAAACTCAAACACACATTTAGCAAAGCTGATGAATAAATCACTTATTATTTGTTAAAATATCTGAAACGAAGTCCGAGTCTTGAGCGCATTTCTGGTAATTTATCCAAAATGTTAGAATACGCTTTGTTTCCGCACGGCTCAGTGTGTTTCAGATTTTAAAATAAATAATGCTTTGTTCTTAAAATAATATCTAACGGGTTCTAGATCCTCTTTTTAAATAAGAAAACGTTTAAATAAAGTGTGTTAATGTTGTAAAGTGGACACACAAACATTAATAATAAAGCATGTGTTAGTCTGTATGCGGGGATGTATCAGAGAGGCCATTTCAGGTTTTTATTTACAACATTTAAGAAGAAAATCCTGGGAGCTAGACGAGAATAAAATATTTAAACGTTATTAGTTGACGGGTTTTACTCGTTTCGTCTGAAAACTCACCTGCTTCTGAACGATGTTGAAATGATCTGAGTGTGTCTAAAACAACAGAACCTGAGCTGAATTCAGCCTTTTTGTGTTTTATTAATGATCGCAGCTTCCTTCACTGAGTTTGCTGTATTGGCAGCAGAGGAGCTGCTTACGTGTCCAATAAACCATCCCGTAAAAATAATCCTCCAAATACATGTAGTATGTCTGAGGACGGCGCTGCTGAGAGCAGCGTCACCTTCATCAGCATTTATTTATTTTTATTTATTTTCTGTGTCGTTCGTGTTTATTTTCCCTGTTTTTACATTTCTGACTAAATCCCGATCGTTGGTAAAAATCCGGGTTGTTACAGCAGAACGGGTGAGTATTTAATGACTGCAGGGATTGATTTATCTTTTATTGTTCAGCCTTATGATCACGTGACTCCGCTGTCCAATGGCGTGGCGGCGTGTCTCCCCATTACTTTCCCACTGTAGTTCTCCGTGGGGCCAAGTTGCTACTTGATTTCTCCACATTGTTATTTTGCGAGGCTCTTTAGTGCGCGCGCGCGTGTGTGTGTGTGTCAGAGGTGTGTGTATGTGTGTGTTTGTGTTTTGCCCTTTTGCATGTATCTGCTGTATGACTGCGTACATGTGAAAGTGCCATTTTTCTGCCATGTCGACGTCCGGAACATTGACTAGCTACTACGTCGATTCCCTCATTCTGCCCGAGAGCGAGGAGGTCTCCATCCCGCGGTACCCCTCTGGTTCCGGTATCCAGCACACCAGACAGCCCGCCTCCATCGGAGACCACAGCGAGCTCGGGACTTGCACCTTCCCGTCCAAACCCACCGTGTTCGGACCGACATGGAACCATGTACCGGCTCAGTTCCCAGGCAGCGTTTCCTCCGTGTACCACCACCACTACGGGCATCCTCAAGGCCCGATGGGCGCAGACACAGACGGCCGCTATCAGTCCTGGCTCCTGGAACCGATGTCCGGTTCTCTCCCGATGACCGGATTACCGACGAGCCACCATCACTACGGGATCAAGCCGGAGGCTTTGGGGGCGCGAGGCGAGCCAGGGTCGCACACGGCGCTGCTCCTCTCCGATTACGCCAACGGCACCGTGGCGACACCATCACCCGGGGAGAAGGACGAGCTGTCCGTCCAGGGAGGGGACATAAGCGGAGAAGCAGAGGAGAAACCGGGCCTGGACCCAAGTAAGTCTCCAGCATGTCTTTAATGTTTGAACTATTTATAAAGCTGCGGGGACGCGGGTGCGCGTCAGAAGCCATTCTGAACGTGCCATTTCCTTATGGAGGCTGTTAATGACCATGCTCAGGTTGCACATCAGCTTTTTGAAGTCAACGCCATGAGAAACGAGGCGGCTGCGCCACGTTCTTCGACCAAATTCCATTTTTAATAATACAATCGCCACGTTTGAATAAGAAAACAAATAAAATTCGCACCCTTCTTTCCAGATAACCCGGTGTCCAACTGGCTCCACGCGAGCGCCACGAGGAAGAAGCGCTGCCCGTACACCAAGCACCAGATCCTGGAGCTGGAGAAGGAGTTCCTCTTTAACACCTACCTGACCAGGGACCGGAGGTACGAGGTGGCGAGGCTGCTGAACCTCACCGAGAGACAGGTTAAGATCTGGTTCCAGAACCGGCGGATGAAGATGAAGAAGTTTAATAAGGACGGAGCACCGAAGGACGAATAACCGTAGCACGCAGGAGCGGTATTTATATGCTGAGATGGATTTCTTTATACGAAAAGAAAATAATAATAATAATAAAAGCGAGAAGAAGCTCTGCTGGACCTTATTTTTAAACCCCGTCGTCTTATTGTATAACAGCTAGAGGAGAATCCGTCTGGGTGAATAAATAAACAAAGCAAGCATGTTGGGCTTTAGTTTAATATTGCACAATTCTGTCAGCACCCATCGGAACTCCGACTTTAATTCCCCCCTGTTAATACCTCGTTTAGATTAGTTGTCTCCGTGCTCGTTTTGGATGTTTCTAGCTGTGTGTGTTTTTGTTTTATTTGTAACTATAAATCTGTTGTCTACCAGAGTCAGTATAGTTTATCAAAATGTAATAATTTAATAGGTTTTTTTTCATATCTGCTAGGAAAATGACTGAATGTGACCGTGGGTTTGATACTAACGTTAGAAGCGTAGAGAGGAAAAAACAAATAACGACAGCAGGTCGCAATTAGAAGAAGATCTGTCCAAGCACCGCTCTACTCTGATTGACTACCTATTTCAACTATACCTACAGTGTGTGTCCGGGTTGGGCTGGCCTGCGTCGCTAACACGTCTGGCTGAATTTCAGGAAGTGACTTTAGGGACATCATGTTTACCAGGGAGGAAATGAAACACTGTAGGCTTCTCAGTGAATACCTCGCGGCCCGCTGGCCGTCTGACATTTGGTTCATTAATGTAATTTGTACTATTTATTAAATAAAACAAATTATATCTGAGATTGTTGATTTCATCCAAACTGCTTCTTGTTTTTTACTTCATAGATTTAGTTTTTAAACAACATTTATTTTATTATTAATGGTGATTTGGGACATGTGTGTGTGTGTGTGTGTGTGTGTGTGTGTGTGTGTGTGTGTGTGTGTGTGTGTGTGTGTGTGTGTGTGTGTGTGTGTGTGTTTGTGTGTGTGTGTGTGTGTGTGTGTGTGTGTGTGTGTGTGTGTGTGTATGTGTGTGTGTTGGGAACAAAGTTGGCAGAGGATGTTGTTAGCTGTATACCGCCATAAAAGACAATTACTGCTATAACCTTTTATGGGGTGCAAAGCGCTCCGAGGCGCGAGGACACCACATACAGAAAAAAGGAACGACAGCTGAAGCTCAAAATATTGCATTTGTTCGTTGAGCTGCAGCAAGAGAGCGGTTCTGATTAGAAGAGAGAAAAGGCAAGGATATAGTTTCTAACTCCGCCTGATGTCAACTTGCTGGCTTTTGAAGCGGTTTGGGTTTAAGGGCTATATTGGCTCAAGTCTCTGCACGTCAGAGGAAAAGAAAAATACGTGACTCCAACAGACTAAAACGCAAAGAGCAGCAAATCACGGGTCTGCGCCCTGATCCATCAAACGTTGACCTGCGATCAGCAACCTCTGCAGCGACTTTAGCTGTCATATTGTTCGGATGAGTCCGGTCCAACTGGAGCTGCTGTTGTGACGCGTTAGAGGACACAGATGGACCCAAACATCAAAGACTCGGCCAGAGACAGTGCCATAAAACGCCTCCTCTCCTATACTGTCTGGCATTCCACTTTTAATGGCTTTATGGCCGTCCAGACACAATTAGGCCACTTTCAGAATGACACCCATTTGTTCTTCTGCTCTTTCTGTGCGACTGGGATCTGGACAAAGGGCCGAGCGGAAATGATCAGCTTTATTGGATTCCTCTCTGACGGGACCGCGGACTCACGGTCATTCCACTCAACCCTTTGTGTTTCACCTGGGAACCTTCCGCCCTCTGCTCCTTTTACTGAGGCCGGGTCCTAAAGGAAAAGGAGCCATAAAGTCCTATGCAGCAATATAATTTCTAATGATCCAAATACGCACGAGTATTTTTTTTTCCAAATATGCAACAAATGGACGTTTTGAATCACAGCTAGTTGTTATTTCTTGTTTATACGCCTGAGAAAATAAAAGTATGAATGTATCTGTGTTTCAGCGCTACCTCCCCATTCTGCAATGCCCAAGAGTCACCAGGGGGTGGCGACACTTTTCCACCACATCCCTCCTGTACCCATCATGCCTAATAAAGCTGCGCACCGGGAGGAACAGCCCTTAGTAACATTTTTAAGAGTCAGCCACAATAATTTCACACATTTTTTACAGTTTCTCACCACAGAGATTTTCTCCACCGCGCAGCCCCACAGGGCAGACTCAGCCAGCCAGCTGCAGGAGAAATGCTGCGTATGCGCATTGACGTTTGCTCATTTGTTTACAACTGTCCCAATTACCCCCAACAAACTTTCCCTATTTAGCCACGATGCACTTTTTTAGCTTTCTTTTGTGAAAGTAATTTGTTTAATAGCAACTCTGAGGTCAGCATCAGAAAATCAACACTTTGTCTGTTTTGTAAATGTAGCTTACATCATTTAAAAGGTGTAGGTGCCTTATTCTGGATTTGACTTAGGAGCATAAACAGCCTAAATATTCATGCTAATTTTTAATTTGTAAATGATTAAAATAATGGTAAAGTAAATTCACTATTACTTTTACTAAAAAACAACAATACTAAAAGAAGAAAAATAATTAAATTTTTTGGTTTTTAATTTTTATTTGTATAATTATTTAAAATAATGTCTTTCTTTTCACAAATGTTATTGTTACTAAAATTATCATTATTATTTTTATTTCTATTATCATAATAATCTGCTAAAATAATGTCTTTCTTTTTCAGTAACGTTATTATTATTATTATTATTATTATTATTATTATTATTATTATTATTATTATTATTATTATTATTATTATTATTATTATCATTGTTATTTCCAGAAGTAGTAGTAAAACAAGCCATTTACCATTTTTCTACTGTTTTAGTAAACACATTTTCTCATTTATAACAAAGTATTTTGGATAACTTTTCAATTTAAAATAAGATGATGAATAAATATATTATTTGAAATAACCATATTTAAACTTTTGACAAGTTTAGTTAAATAAATAAATAAATACATAGACAAATAAATAAATAAATAACGTTCAAAGGGAAACATTTGTTTTGATGTTCAGAAAAAAGTTGATCACCGTTATTTACAGCAGTTTTGAAAACTAGCTAACTAATTAGCTCCCTTTAAAATCTGCTTTCTGTTTCTGTTGATCAGTTAAATATATTAACATTGAAGCGACGTGTGTGTGTGTGTGTGTGTGTGTGTGTGTGTGTGTGTGTGTGTGTGTGTGTGTGTGTGTGTGTGTGTGTTTGTGTGTGTGTGTTTACGTTGTGTTAATGTCATCCTGCAGGCTTGAGTTCTGATGAAGCAGCTCGGTGCTCCACGCCAATTGGTGGAAAGCGAGCAGGCCGGAGTCACGTGACTGGGTTCTCTGGTCCGGAGTAAAAATGGGGTTTGGTGTAAATCTGGGGTGTATTGCTGTCATATATCACGCTACCTCGTAAAAACGACACTGAGGATTCTGGGCCAACAAATCAGGGAGAGAAAATATGAGTTCTTATTATGTGGACAGTCTTCTGTGCAATCCCGCAGCGGGAACTTCTCTGTTCCCGAACTCGGAGCTCGCTTCTGCTTGCAGCGCTATTGGACCCAATGGGCAGGGGCTCGGCTCCGCTCGGACTGCCGCTACAGCCATCGCGTTTGCGCCATCTCTAACCGGAGTTTACAGCCTCAGCAATGCGCTCCAGAGCCGCCCTGTGTTCACCCCGGGCTACGGTCCAGGACAGGACACGCACACACACCGCTGCAGCCCTTTCGACCAGGCCTGCCACTTCAGCGACAGCTGCTGTCACCCGGGGCCGGGACCCCTCTCCTCTCCGCCGGACAAGCAGCACCGGATGTACCCTTGGATGTGGGCATCAGGTACGCGCAACTCTCAAGGCTTTTACTAAACCACCGTGTCTTCCATTAGTCTTCGATTAATTTCAAGGGCCTCATTGCTGTTGCGTGGAAAGAATCGTAAAACTTTTACTGCGCAACTAATGAGTTCTGCGGCCATAAATTCATTTGGCCGAAGCTTCTGCGCGTTCAGTGCTCAGAGACCTTGCCGCTGGGGGTTTTCTCGGCACTCCTATTACTCTCACAGCCTGGCTGTAAAAGAGTCCGACCTGTTGTGTAAATCAGATCTGCTGCTCCCTGCAGCCTTTATAATTGAGTCTGTGCTGCAGAGAATCAATGTGCGCCACCATGCCCTGCAAGTGGGGTTAAAATATAACGAAAGCCTGTTTTGAATTCATAACTTCTGATAGAAAATGCGTCTTTTTGACTGATTTAGTACAAAAATACGCCTGCATGCGAGAGCACATGACCCCAAACAGCAGCAGCAGAAGGGAAAGCAATTACAGCGTAGAGTAATTTTACATTAACGCCACGCTAATGCTTTATTAAAAGTTGATTAACGAAAAAACATTTAGTGGTGATGAAAAATCTGAGCCCTGATTAAAACACTATTACAGAAACATCAAAGACTTCCTGTTGTTATAGCCACGAGTTTTTATTGTCAGCAAATGAATGAATAATTTATTGCACCATAATTCCGCTGCTAACAAAAGCATGTGGAGACATGATTATGTTTTTACAAGTCACTATCCTCTGGTCCTCCTCAGATCGAAAGCGGGGCCGACAGACCTACTCCAGGTACCAGACCCTGGAGCTGGAGAAGGAGTTCCACTCCAGCCGGTACCTGACCCGTAGGCGGCGGATCGAGATCGCCCACGCCCTCTGCCTCTCGGAGAGACAGATCAAAATCTGGTTCCAGAACCGCAGAATGAAGTGGAAGAAGGACCACAAAGAGCCGAACCAGCTGGAGGAGAAGCTCGAAGACGTCCAGGCCGAGTCGGAACCAGGAGGCTCCGCGAGCGCAGAGAAGACTGAAAAAGAACAGGAGATGGACTAAATGATTCAGTTTTAAAACACTGTAGCAGACACACACACACACACACACACACACACACACACGCACGCACGCACGCACACACACACACAGGCACACACACACACACACACACACACACACACACACACACACACACACGCACGCACGCACACACACACAGGCACACACACACACACACACACACATACACGCACGCACGCACGCACGCACACACACACACACACACACACACACTTACAGCAGATATGAATGTATGAACATTCCTTTAACGATAAACTACCTATACTCTGATGCAAATTCTTAATAATATTTAACAAATTAATGAATACAATCTAAAGTTGTCTCCAGAGGAGTTTACATTCATCATATGGTTCAAATGTGTCTAAATTTAATCAGATAAATAAAACAAATTTTTATTTGCTGGAATGCAGAAAACATCATTTTTGTGAACGTTTTTCCTTCAAATCCGTGTTTGTTGTTGTTCTTTTATCTTATGTGGTTCTACCTCAGATCTGAAGCTGGCCTGTAACACATTAAAGCAGGTGTCTGGTTTTAGAAGGGTCTTGTTGTGACCTGAAGGTGAGGGGCTCCCAGCACACAGGGCAAACCACGAACAGGTCCAACATTAAAAACGTGCAACAGCGCAGCTGAACATGGAGCTACCACGAGTCATTTCTGTGTACAAATTATTTTGTGATTCTATCAAACAATAAAAAGTGACATATTTGTGCCTGTTTATTATTTAATGGCTATGTGCTCCGGCTCACCTGCCCGCGCGTACAGGTAGCTGGTGGAGCTGGGCTGCTGCACTGCGACCAGAACCAGAACTGGCTCTCAGATAAACAGTGAAGGTGAAGAATGTGAGCTATGAGGATGCGGATGAGGCAGGCTGCAGACTTGTGTGTGTGTGTGCGCGCGCGCGTGTGTGTGGGAGGGGGGGTCTGTTCCCTCTGCTCTGTAAAATGGCGCCTGATCTCCTTCCCCCCACCCCATCCCACCCCAGCTCTGGGTCATAAATCCGTTGTTGTTTATGAAAATTTACAACGTAGCGGTTCAACTTTACGAGGCGGCTCGGCCTCCTATTGGCCGCCGCTGGTCACGTGGCAGAGAGCCGTGAACATGAACTTTTATATATATAATTTCCAATAGCGGAAAAAAGCAGCCTTCGGTTTAGCTCGGGCTTGCGCGCGCCTCTTGCTCACACCGACCTCCTCTTGTGGACTTAATCTGTTTCCCGTCATGTGGCGGACGCACGCGCTGGATCTTATGAGAGACGAGTGGACCGATGGGATGTTGACACGGCTTGGGAAGCTGGATGGGGGGAGGCCCGGAGCGTCTCTGACCCCCAGGAGTCCCCCTTTCCGTCCGAGGACTCAGCTGGAGGTTTTTCTGCACCTGTCCTCTCCTCACACCGACTCCCTGGTGTATAAACCTTCTGAAGGTAAGGCAGCAGAAGATGGTCAGTCCATTCGGGCTGAAACGTCATTTTCATTATTTTACAATAATACAAATATAATTATTCGAATAGTTTAATATTTATGATCATTAACTCTAAACCGGAAACAGATGATCAGCAGATGCAAATGCTTTCATGTTATGATGATCTTTGTGTTTCAACCATCTGAAGCGTGTTTGGTTCTTGTTTGATAAAAACATAAAATGAAAAGATCCACAGAGGGAGCTGAATGAGCGCTCTTTGCTGCCCTCGTGTGGACAAACTGGGTTACGTGTCTGCAGCGTCTGTGCTGCAGGCAGAGAAGCTTGTTGACCTCTGCTGCGCGTGTTTGTGCGTTTTCTTCAGCTCTGTGCAGCAGGCCTGGAAATCTAATGCATTTGATTCATTTAGACAGAAACAGCGTGGGTGAAAAACCAAGGTACGATAAATAAATAAACACGGATCTATGTTGTTTATGCAAATAAGTATATTAAAATAATATGTAACGGCATAATATACAATTTCATTGTATTTCATTTACATTTATATAATTTCGATGGTTTTGTTTATATTTTATAATAGGAATGGACCTATTTTTGATTTTGCAGGCAATTTTGTTGTTTTAAATGCTTAAATGTTTTTTTACATTGTGTTGCATTTTATCTGTAGATTTAAAACCTTCTATTTCTGGTGCAAATGCTAGACTGCAGTAAAACATGAACAATTATCTACTTTCCAGATTTCATATGCACTTTAAGCTGAGCTTTACAAAATAAATGTTTGCCAACATGTAGCTGATAAAGGACCTTGTTATTATCATCATCATTATTATTATTACTATTAATAATAATAATAATAATAATAATAATAATAATAATAATAATAATAATAATAATAATAATAATCATCATCATCATCATCACCATCACCATCATCATCACAATCATCATCATCATCATTTGTTGGCCTTTCTGCCCAGACCAGGTGTGTGTGTGTGTGTGAGTGTGTGTGCGCACGTGTGTGTGTGCATGTCGAGTACACTGCTTTGCTTCTTTTCTCTATACAACTGATCCCCCCCCCCCCCACACACACACACCTCCGTTTGGTGTTGTTTTAGGTGTGCTGAAGTCTCAGCTCCGAGAAGTTTCGTGGACAACTTGCAATTGGTCGGTGACAAATCAGCTGTTTAGCCACACACACACACACACACACACACACACACACACACACACACACACACACACACACACACACACACACACACACACACATGCACACACACACACACACACACACACACACACACACACACACACACACACACACACACACATACACACACACACACACACACACACACACACACACACACACACACACACACACACACACACACACACACACACACACACACACACACACACACACATGCACACAGGATTTGGCCCGAGGGTAGAGGGCATGTGGGGGGAGTGGGGGGCATGTCTTTGCCTTGGAGACGCGAACGGTGCCATAAAAATTCCACGAGGAGAGCCCAAACCGCGCCGCGGGTGCAGGCTCCGTCCTGGTGCGTGTTCTTACTGGTTGTTCTGCAGCAGCCGAATGAAGCAGCTTTTAATCTCAGACGTATATGTATACATTTTGTAAAGGTCATGATGTGTTGCTTGTGACCTGAAGTCCTGACCCAGTTTATTTTCTGTTCTGTTTAAAAAGCAACTCCAGGAGTTTCAAACAGCCCATAAAAATATTAAACTAACACTTTTCTCCGATTCACGCGTGGCTCCGAACAGCCTTTAAATTCTCATAAAAAAGAAATAACGCGCAGAGATCGACGTCCAGCGCGCCACAGCAAAAGCAGGAAAACGAGCTGATGCTCCGTTTTAAAGTCAGAATGACAGAACGGCTGCTGTTAAATGAGAGCAAAATAACACCCAAACGGCCTGGAAGCCATCGTCTGGAAGCGTGTGTTAACTTCTAACCTGCTTATAAACTCTTTGTGTTGCTCATAAAGCCTTTATTATTTATTTATCAGGCCTGGGACCCGCTCGCTGTTTCATCACTTGATGTTTCCTTTGTTGGCTTCAATATTCTCTTCCAAACATTTATTCATTAGCGCTTTCTCCACATCAAGTCGTTCCCTTTTTTATGATTATGAAAGGAAAAGGCAGAGGAAGAGCGCCGCAGTCTTCTGAATGGGCTTTTATTCTATTAGCTGTAGAGACTATTTACACCCACCGCCCGCCGCAACGTGCACAGAGCAGATTCTGATCGAATTATTTCACTTTCATCATTGGAGAGATTGCACTCTCAGCATGTCACTTGTTGTATTGTTTAGGAGTTGTTGTTTTTTTTTTGCCGCAATGGTCGTTAACCTCTGCATGACCCCGTGTGGAGCCTCAGAAATCCGCTGCAGACAGTCAGTGCAACAGTTGCGCCAGAGGATGGCGCAGCGCGACAGTTCAAAAACACCTCGGAGCTCTCTAGAACCGAGAGCGCATGGGAGGCGCGCGCCCTCCCCCAGCCACACAACCCACCCATGCATTTCCTGCGTGCACGAGTTTACCTCTGGAGGTCACCAGGCAGGATTTACGACTGGTCAACAAAAGCACGTGATTCCGCCTCGTATCCCATATTTGGGTGCCTACGTAAGAGAGAATCAAGTCCATGTCCCACTCATTTCCATAATTCATCATAAATTGTGCAAGGGTGCTATAGGACGCGCTAAACCAAGAGCTACAAATCAAGCGTGCAGGTTGATGCGGTTTACTTTCTAAAATAAGAAAACAACAACAAGAAGAGCTGCGCGAGGAGGAACTGTCAACAAATGAGCTCCTATTTTGTGAACTCATTCTGCGGTCGCTACCCCAACGGCGCGGACTTCCAGTTACATAATTATGGAGACCTTAGTTCTGGAAACGAGCAATATAGAGACTCAGCAGCCATGCACTCCAGCAGGTACGGCTATGGCTACAACGGGATGGACCTGACAGTCGGGCGGACCGGAGGCGGACACTTTGTGGGCAGCGAGCGGACACCGGGCTACTCCCCGAGTCACTCAGCGGCTGCGGCTGCGGCGGTTCCCTCCGTGGATTCTGTCAGGTACAACCAGCCCGCCAACAGCACCGCCAGTGCGTCCCTGTCGCCCCCACCCGAGCCTCTGCCGTGCTCCTCCGTAGCCACCAGCTCGTCCCCGACCGCCGAGACGCAGCCTCAACACAGAGCCGTGAAGAACTCCGTGCCCACGCCCTGCTCCAGCTCCAACGGCGGCACGCTGCTGCTCAGTCGGGATTGTGTGTCTAAAGCGTCTCCCCTGGAGGAAGAGAAGCCCACGGGAAGCGCACCGACAACCCCACAGAGCGCAGGAGACTCGTCACAGCCTCAGATCTACCCGTGGATGAGAAAACTCCACATAAGTCACGGTAAGCTGCGCGCTTTAATGATATGCTATTGATTTTGTGTCTGGTTGGGAGAGCTGTCGCTGTGCTGTTGGGTCACGTTTACACCAAACAGCAAAAATTAGTCTCAATCGGAGTTTTTCTTTATTCTACAAAAGTTAAAAAAGACTAAAAAAACAGAGAAATCTTCTAGGAACGTGGCTCGTGGCGCGGAAAGCGTCTCTCCTCTGTTTGCTAAAATAGAGTTTGACTTAAAAACAAACATTTTATCAGAAAAATGTAGAAAATGGTAATAAACTAAACAAATTTAAAATGAAGTGCTGTTTGAACAGTAAATTGGGTCACACGTGCGTCTCGTTGCTGCTGTTACTAAGAAAACTGTTAATCTCAGTTTAAGATTAGAATCGCGTGATTAATTTAAATGTGCCTTCTTGTTACAGTCCCTCGAGATAAATGACCTCCAAGTGTCCAGCCCTGACCGAGGCGCATGTTTATTCCGGTTATTATGATTTTTACTGTATCTCATGGTTTTCCCTTTCTCTTTCCTGGCACAGATTTGTCCGGACCAGAAGGAAAGCGAGCCAGAACCGCCTATACCCGGTACCAGACCCTGGAGCTGGAGAAGGAGTTCCACTTCAACCGGTACCTGACCCGCAGGCGGCGGATCGAGATCGCCCACGCCCTCTGCCTCTCAGAGAGACAGATCAAAATCTGGTTCCAGAACCGCAGGATGAAGTGGAAGAAGGACAACAAGCTGAAAAGCATGAGCATGGCGGCCGCAGGCGGGGGAGCCTACAGGCCCTGATCTCCACCCTCATGACGCACGATGAAAAATAAAAATAAAATAACAAAATAAATCCGTAAAAACTGAGTTTAACGCTTCATCTCCTCTTGGCTGAAGACAAAAAAAGAAGACTTGTTTACGGGGTGTGAGCAGAACCAACGCGGCCCCCACCTCCTGTATATCACCGTTATTATTTCCTTCATATATTCTCACCGTGTTGATGTTGATGTGTTAAAATGTACAGATCTGTTTAGACTTAGAGCGAAAAAAGGGGCAAAAACATGAAAATAAATGTTTGTTTAAATTATTTCTTGTTCAAACAAAAAGAAACGTGAAAGGAAACTTAAAAGATCCGCAAAGTAATCCAGTAAACTCCGTGTGACGCAATCAGCCCCATAACTAGAAGGTTTCTCTGTATGTAATGTACATGTTTGTATTTATTTGTTTGATGTTTTGTGCCAACATGTCGGAAAAATGGCTTCCAAAAAAGAAGAAAAGTAGAACCAGCAGATAAGCATTGTGTGTGTGTGTGTGTGTGTGTGTGTGTGTGTGTGTGTGTGTGTGTGTGTGTGTGTGTGTGTGTGTGTGTGTGTGTGTGTGTGTGTGTGTGTGTGTGTGTGTGTGTGTGTGTGTGTGTGTGTGTGTGAGTATGGACACAGCTCTTGCCTCACCTGTGTGTAGCTGTCTGTTTCCTTTTGTTTGCTCACCTGCAGCATCTCAGCAGAAAGAAGAAGTTTTTGTCGGTTTCACGTTTTTCTTGGCTGTTCTCCTGACGAGGCTCCAAGATGTCATCGTGATGATCTTTCTGTAAATGTTTTTCGAAGACTGGAAGTCAACAGAATATAATAATAATAATAATATTAATGATGCTCATGGTGATGATGGCCGTGATAATAAACTTTTTACTGGACTTTACTTTGTATCTTTCTGTTTGTCCCGCGCGCCAAACGCGCTAAAATCGCACTACAGATGTATTAAAATACAAAACAAAAGTTTGCGTTGAGTCAAACGTGACTAAATCCAACAGGTCTCTCTGGATGAAAGCTCACCTGGCTCTGTGCGCTGGAGGGCTGTCGGGGCAGAGCGTGCCCTTCTCTCCACTCTCTCTCTCGAACCATTCCCCCAAAATTAGCAGGACTTTTTCTGGCAGTAAACTTTATTAGGGCCCGTTCTGGCGCTCTGACTCAATGAATGGGGGTTTTGTCTATGAATTAGATCGTAAAATCATCCTGAGAGCGGCCAGATAGGCTCACTGGCCATAAACGGTCACGTGGTGGCCATTAAAGTAAGTTTTATGGTTTTGGGGAGTTGACAGTATATTGCACATAACATATAATCGCCCTGACGGCGAGGCTTCGTCTGACTCTCTCTTTGCTGGCTGTTAGGGTTACTTGACCGGTACAGAGCCTCTCTGTCGCTTCCTCAGGTCGGACCGGACGCTCCCCAGGATGAGGCGCGCGTCTCTGGGTAAGTTTCTGCAGACTAACCGGTAGCAGAGCCCAGCCACTCCGAGTTAAACAGCCGGATTATTGTATTCGCTCCCTCTATCCGTCCCTATTAGTCCATTAGGCTAATTTGTCAGTAGTGGAGAGCTGGATGCTGGTCTCGGCAGATGTTGCGCAGGGCTGGGTCCGGCTCATGGTTATTTAATTGCTTCCGTCCCTGTGTAACTTGTTTCCCTCCATCTGTGGTGTAACTTATAATCCATTTTCACATGTTGGATAATTATCTTTGTCCATTTCAACCCCCACAAACTTGTCGTTTTATTACATTTGGAGAACTCACCGACCGTGAGCCAGAAATGTTCCACAGGGCAGCAGCGGAGTGTGTGATGGAGTTACAGGCGCTGATGCAGGCCTGCGCTTTTACAGATATAAATGTCTGAATCTGCACGTGCTCATTACGTTCAGACCCTCTGTCTTTTAAATTTCTTAGTCTTTTTTGTGAAAGTTGGTGTTTGTTTCTGCTGCACGCGCCCCACATGTTGGCTCTGAAGCCTGGTTCTGGGCTGTAAACAGACTCGAGTAAACACAACATGAGAAGAAACAACAGCAGGAAAACTTCCAACAGGAATTCCGTTTTGTGTTTTTTTGTGTTTGGAGGTTGAAAAGTTCAGATAACCTCTGAAAATGCCACTCTCGCTTTGGGGTGACCTCATGTCCGATCTGACAAAGGACCACAGCGGTCACCAGTGCGCACGAATCCAAAAACTTAATATATGTTTTATTGTTATTAGCTTTGGTGGAACACGTCGTCTGTTTTCTGTCTGTGCAACACTCCTTAAAGGATTTGTGTCTGTGCGTGTTCGCGTGTGACGTGACCCCGTTTTTACGCACAGACGGAATAAAACAAATTGTTTTGTGACATTCAGGATTTTAAATTTCCCTAAAAAAAATCTTTGATCTTCCTGTTTTTCTCCTGACAGATTTTTAAATATTTAGTTTTCAGACTGAGACATTTACGCAAATCTAAATTTTTGTATTTGGGCTCCAGATAATTTGAGGAGCCTTTGGCAATTAAATAAACGTATTTGGGAGTTTTTTCCAAGGTAGGAAAACTGGATAATACTTGTTTAAATTAAGTATTAAGAACGATATAAATGTGTGATTGTTTCCCCTGAAGTTTTAATTTTGGCGCATTTCTGAGCAGCTCGCTGAGGATGAACTTTACCAGCTCCGTTAGTCGTTCTTTTTCTCTTTTGAAATTCACAATTAAAAAAAACCAAATGTGTTCCATTTGCGTCTGAGGAATGAGGAACAGCAGACTGATAACAGTTTCAGGATATTTTTACTAGTTCGCATCTAAAGTACATCGCTGGGTTTGGAGCTCTTTCTAGTTTCCTTTTCCACACATTGGAAATCCAACAGGACGCACAGAGGTTGCGGATATTTGGAACCCAAACCCCTTTGCCAATAATTCAAGAGGAGACAGTTCGACAGGGCCCCATGTGCGGCGCGCTGCCAGGCAGATAGAGAGGGGAGCGCAACAGAGGTTCATCTAGAGGTCACCCGCAGCACTAAGATGGATCTGCATCCTCCCGGAGCCACCAGCAGAGCTCGCTTTAGGCCAAGTTCAGTGTCACACTGCTGCATGGAAGAACCGGTACCACGCGCAAACAAGCCATGTTTCTGTACCTTTATGTGCACAAATGAATGGAATGGAGGCCGGAGAGCCTGCCTGATGTGCTGCATGAGGAGACGCGATCGCGTGAGGGTTGCTGCTTTGCCTCTAATGAGTGATTTGCATATTTGATCAGCCATGAGCTGGATGTTGGATCGATTGCTGCTGTCTGCTCCTGGAAACAACCCAAAGACTAGATTGGATTTGGGGTCTAGTGCTGCATCTCCTCTGATCAAATCTGTGTAGATGATAATTAGTAAAAAACGAGAAGGATCTGCTTTTGTTTTTGCTTATGGGGGTGAGATGGTGTGTGTGTGTGTGTGGGGGGGGGGGGGGGGGTGTCTCTCTGGGCTGATGAGAGTCAGATAGACGCAGAAGAGGAGGAAAAATTGGGGTCAAAAGTTTAGATGCTGAACAAGTCCCCGTCATCTGTTCACTCGGAGCTCCACGAATAAAAGCGATCTTGACTCTTCACACAAAAGACAGAATAGCTTTGCATCACATATGTGGCGCGGTGCACTCCAGGTGAACCCTGGAAGCGCAGTGACCTCACACGCACACACACACACAAGATTGAGTGGCTGTGTTTTATTAGGGCAGCTGATTGGTGAATTTCCTTTGAATAAATTGCATTTGATATGTTTTTGGGACGAGGGCAGAATTTGCATTTTGAGGATTGATCCCCTCGGCCCGGTCGCAGGGTAATGAGAAGGCCCACGCCTCCCCCCCTCACAACGAGACCCCAGATCCCTTAAAAAACACTTAGCCCCGCTCGTCCTCGTCGGCTGAAAAGAATCTTTTTAAACCGAGAAATGGCGCAGATGTTTGTCTTGCGCATGATGATTCTTGAGGTCCACGTTTGAACTTAAACGTGCAATTCTTATTTCCAAAGGGCCTGGCGGCTTTCCAGGAGAGAGGATGCTTTTACTGAAACTTGTTAAAATACAAAAAATAAAAAATAAATAAATAAATTCTTACAATTAAATGTTCATTTAGAAAATATCCACAACAACGTCATGATGATGCCAGATGCTTTTATTATAACGATGATTGAATATTCCTAAAATCAGCCAATGACAAAACACAAGTCATTTATTTCTTTCAAATAGAAAACACTTTTTATTTCAATCCAAGCTCGTAATTTACACAATCTGGAAAAACTGACTGAATTAAAACTAAATACATATTTTCGATTGCAGAAACCTTCTTGCTGTCACAGTGGCATGAAAATATCACAACTTTAAAACTTAGATTCATTTAATATTTTACAAAAACACACAAACAGTTCCAATGAATCCTTAAAAGCTTCTTAATATCACAACAAAAAGGGGAAATTAACTAATATGTGAAAAAATCAATTAAAACACGTAAAGGTAATTTGGATCTAACTTTAATGTGTCTGATTTACCTAAATGCTAAAAGTTAATAATAGATAATATCTGTTGTTAAATGAACTATTCCTAGATTGTTTCATTTGATCTAAATATTAAAAAAATACATTTAATGAAAAATTATTTAAAATTCTATGTGAACGAAGCGAGTTATTATTGTTTTGATCCTAAAAGCAGATAATTGTTCATGTTTTGCTGCAGTTTCCCACCCCAGACTCCCAGCAGGCTGCCTGGTTATTTCGTTTTCAAAAGGACACAATTTCATTTTTAATTAAAACAGTTTGCTGTAAATTAATCCTCTCGGAGTTCTTGCGCATTAATCTGACACTTTCAGTCCGAAATATGTGATGAACAGGGAGCTTATAAATAGCTCCTGGTTGTTGCGTTTTCACACTTTGGACACAAAGTTAGAAAAAAGTAACCAAAACGCATCCTGGACACACACACACACACACACACACACACACACACACACACACACACACACACACACACACACACACACACACACACACACACACACACACACACACACACACACACACACACACACACACACTGCTGCGGTTCTGATTGGGATTTTAAATTCGCTGGAAAATGACTCACATCCTGACTTCTGAGTTCATTACTGATCCGTAACTCTTTGGTTATGTTTGCATGATACGCTGCACGCGCTGCAGCCATGCGCGCAGGCCCACACCATCTACGAAACGTCGTCAGTCTTCTAATAAAGTATAAACGTATCCATGCGTTAGAAATAAACAATCAGATCAACAAGTGGGACAGCTGGCTCTACAGCAGGCTACATTTACAGCCGGAGCCAAGCCGACCCGACCTGTTTAAACAGGACCCGTGTATAAAAGAATAGCAGGTAGACGTGAAGTCGTCTTACCGGATGGCTTTATGGTGCACGGCCTCTCAGGTGGTCTCCTCACCAGGTGGAAACGAGGCTCTGCCTCCCTACAGCGTGCTGACATTAAAATAATCTAGTAAAAATAAGAGGTCTGGGTGTTTCACGTCTTCTCATCCAACTTCCATAACGATGATTCAGTAAAACTTACTTTTACGCACGTGCCAGAAGATATTCAACGTGGAGCTTCTGTGTTCTGTGTGGAGTTTTGAAACTCCTGTCAGGAGCCTCCTGGAGAGCTAGCCCGCGCTGAGAGCTGCCTCCATCTCCCCAGAGCTTAATAAAGCCCGCAAAACACTGAAGTCCAAGTCCGGGGTGAACCCCGGGTCAGCACGTCTAACCGATATGAAAATGTCGCCTCTTTGGGGGAGAGGGAGAGAAAAGGGGGGAGACACGCCTTGTTGTTTAACAAAGACTGTCAATGGGAAGATTAATAAGAAACAAAATGGAAATGGTGTCACCTCGGGGTCAGGCAGAAGTTATCTGTGCGTAGGGGAGCGAAAAGGAAGAATAGGAGGCCGAGCAGGAAAAAGAAAGGAGAGAGAAAGATGGGAGAAGAGTAGCTGTGGTGTTTCTGTAAGTTTGGCCCCTGTTGGTTCTTGTTGTAGAGGCCTTGTTGGACTGGATCAGGTCTGCTGCGTAGGGACACGGACTCAGAGGGACAGTCCGGAGACGCAACTGGACCTGATGGCTGCAGAACACGGTCAGAACCTCTCAGATTCACAATGTGTGTTTCAGCACAGAGCTCAGGAAGCATATGCTATTATTATTATTATTATTATTATTATTATTATTATTATTATTACAGATTTAAAATATTTGTCTTGTTTGGTTTCATCTTTGAGCTTGCGCAGGGACATGGTTAGTGCACGTGCACTGGTTAAAGAAGTTGTTTGTTATTTTTTTCCAAATAAGCGAGGTTTGCTCAGAGCGTGTGAATCTGTCCTGACACGAGGTCACCGGACTCCTCCACTGCAAATGGACGGGTGCTATTTTCAAATTTTTGCTTCGGCATCCGGACTGTAATGCAAAGCAGGTGTCCTTGGGTGTTCGTCCGATTGATGTGCTTTTTAATAACAGCCAAGAGCGGGTTCGAGTGCGCGCCTTAAACGTCATATAGGTTTAGTGTTACATTATAAAGGAAAGGCTTTGGGAAGCGTTCAGGTTGGTGTTTTATTCTGGGGAAAACAGGAAATGTGACTTGCGTCTTGCATAAACGGGCCTGCCTTTGCATTTGGGAACGTGTGGTGTTCCTGCTGGTTGGTTTTTCTGGATTTAGAGATTTGCAGTTTACGCGCTAGAAGTGTGCAGCAAAACATGTCTGTGTGCTGCATGCTCTATGCGTTTTTACTTATTTAAACTCTTTAATAGCCATATTTTATGGTGAATTGTTGAGCTAGTTCTTGTTTTCTTGCCCTGGTCTTTTCTAAAATGCAACAGATTCCTAACAGCTTGAATTTGTGTTTATTCATGAGTATTTCTGCACAGCCTCCACCAGGACTCGGCTTATTTCTCTCAGTCTGAGCCGAGCTGCAGAGTCTCACCCGTAAGTTCAGTTCCGAGCCGTAAACAACTTAGTTGATTAGGTTTTTTGCCTTTTATATCCTAATCTGATAAGCAAAACGCCAACGCGAGCCAGTCCGAGCGGAGCTGCTGGTACCAGTGCCATGCTTTCCATTGGTTCCTGTTTACATGATGCCCACAGGACACGCGGTGATTGGTGGTTCCACGCACGTGACCAGACAACTTTGTACATTTGACAGGGGAGTAGGAGGGTTTTGTGGAGATCAGAAAAACGACAGCGCGATAAAAATTAGTATTGTTGCACTTCACAAATTAATGACCATGAGTTCCTACTTGATAAACTCCAACTACATCGAGCCTTCCTTCCCGCCGTGCGACGAATATCAGCAGAGCGGATACATCCCCAGCCATGGTGATTACTACGAGCGACCAAAAGACACGGGTTTCCCCCATCACGACGAGGCAACCTACCCGAGGTCAAACTACACAGAAACGGGCTACGATTACGGCAACGTCCCCGCCGCCGCCTCACTCGACGATTTCGGGGACGGGCATCACGCACAGCCGCAGCCGGTTGCACAGAGCCACGGTCCTCGCCTCTCCACGGCGCCAGACGGTGGCGCAGGGGCAAATACCAAAGACTGCAGTCTCTCCGGTGAGGTGTATCCCGGCACGGCGAAGGGCAAGGAGCCGGTGGTCTACCCGTGGATGAAAAAGGTCCACGTTAGCAACGGTGAGTGAGCAGCCTCTGGAACACACACACGCCAACTGGAGCAGCACTAGTAACAACCTTACAACAGCAATTTACGACTATCGAGCAGCGGGGTCGGTAATTAAGGACCCTCGTAAATTTTATAGCCCGTGTTCGCCTGTCGGGGCCATGCGCCTTTGTTGCTTTTTAACCCAAACTACCTCCAGCTCTGGAGCCGAGCCAAACTGCTGTAATCCGCCCCGCTGTTTTTGTTAATCATTCCTAAAGCTTGATCTGTCCCTGGATGAGAGTTCTTCAGCATCTTACCATTAAAGTCAAAGACGCTGCACATCAAACACAACAGCTGCAATTTACTCACCCAACACAGAGAAGCGCTCCATTTCTGCGCACTTTAATGTCTCCAGTGGCGCAAATAAGGAGTTTGAAATAAAAGCTATCAACCTGCATAACACCTGCTCGCTCATGTGTGTGTGTGTGTGTGTGTGTGTGTGTGTGTGTGTGTGTGTGTGTGTGTGTGTGTGTGTGTGTATGTGTGTGTGTGTTTGTGTTTCCCTCCCAGTCAGTGCCAGTTACAATGGAGGAGTGCCCAAGAGGTCCCGCACTGCCTACACCCGCCAACAGGCTCTGGAGCTGGAGAAGGAGTTCCACTTCAACCGCTACCTGACCCGGCGCCGGCGGGTGGAGATTGCGCACACCATGTGCCTGTCCGAGCGCCAGGTCAAGATCTGGTTTCAGAACCGGAGGATGAAGTGGAAAAAGGAGCACAAGCTCCCCAACACTAAGATCCGCTCGTCCAGCTCGGCCTCAGCGACCGGGGCCCAGCAGCAGCAGCAGCAGATCAAAACAGGCCAGCAGCTCGTGCCCACGCCGTGCACCGTGGGTCTATAGTCCACCAATGAACGCAAATGCCTGAAACTCCAGACTGAGATGGAAAACAAAGCAAAAGTGGAATTGGATGGACCGATTTTCAGTATTTTACACACATGGTGTTATTCTCTGTAACCTTGCACATTGGGCCTTTGCCACGTCCTTTGTAACCCTTTCCTCCACGATCGTCTTCATATAAGCTTGAAATCTACATTTATTTGCCATGGTGGCAACTGAAGTGTCTATATATTTGTTTATAATGGAACAAGAAGAAAAAAAGCCAACGCGCATTCAGAGCAGATGTTGCAGTTTGGTGGCAGTGAGTTAGAGCTGTTTTATGTATTATTGTTTTGTTCCTGTTTTCCTTTAATTGCTCATGGAAAGTTCTAATATACTTGAAAGTTATCTGTGAGGCTCGGAGTTAGAGAGGCGCTCGAGCCGTTCTGTAGGAATGGTCCCGGTCCGAGGAGCTGCGTGTAGTCTGTGCGTTTGAATGGGTCGGTTTACTGTTGAATGTAGTCCAGGTGACTTTTACATCTAGTGTACATATAAAACTACCTAATGAAGGCACAAGGACGGGCGGGAGAGGCTTCCCGTCCGCTCTGCTTATGTTGTATAAGGTCTAGTTTCATCTGTGCTGGTGCGTCCTTTGTTGTGCTGTGTTCTAAACTGTGAATATGTGTCTGTGTTGTCTCAGTGGTGACCGTTGTTCATATACAGGCTAGTGTAGCTTAAACGTGTCCTTGTGAAATAAATATGTGCTTCACTTATAAAGGCTGACGTGATTTTGGACCAAATCTGTCACCGCCACGGCGGATTTGACTCATGCAACAGCTTGTTTTTGTTTTAAATTCGCTCCAGTTACGTTTTTCTACCTCTTTTATTCTGAAATTAAATGTAAATTATAAAAAAACTATTTTAATTTTTAGAATAATCTTCTGATTGTTTTCCTCTTAACTGACACGTGTTGAGCATTTTCATTCGTATTTTTAGGCTTTTATTCTAAAACGTCGTAAATAAACGCGCGTTTTTCCTCATAAACTTGTTAATACTTTAATTTCTATTGAACAAAAATCGTTTAACAAAACGTGAGACATTTGCAGCGATTCAACCTCCAGGAATCTTACATAAAACAATGCAGCTAATTCTAAATATTTTAAAATTTGAATGTCCTATTTGAAAAAAATATCAATTTCACACGTTTACTAACGCGTGCACATTTTTGTTTTTCATTACTCACTTCTCTCTAATTCAAATGCGCACGCATGTCACGCGCATTTCCTCGGATTACGATGATATGTGGCAGAAACAAATGCGAGCTACAGCCCTGCCCTGGCGCGCGGGTGAGTTTGAATCCTTGGTGGTTCGAACGCAACATTTTGCATGCTTTCTGATTTTTGAGGAGGTTTTGTCTCCAACCTTAGAGCACCAGAGAGGGCGCGTTGGTCACTACCTGCTCCATCTAAACAATGGAGAGTTCAGCTAGGGGACACGGCTGCCGCTGACCAATCACAGCTTCGGAGCACTTCTCCTGACCCATGACCTTTCGACACACACAGTGTCCAGACCATACATCAGCTCTGAAACCTCCGTCAGCCTTTTCATGCCGTCCCGGGGTTTACCCAGGGACGGCGTGGAAACAATAACTGTGTTTAAGTGTGAAACCGAGCCGTGAGACAGCTCCGGTTCAGATAGAACCGAGGCCGATCCGGGCCCAGAGCCGTGCGACAGATGGCTCACGTTGGGTGGCTGTAATTTTGGGCACGTTGTTGATTTACTCACCACGACCATGTTAGCAGGTGTGTAACAAACATGTTCACAATCAAACTGCAAATAATCTGGATTTCATGAAATACAGACTATCAGAGGGTGGGTGTCTAACAACCACCTATGCAGCTTCATGGCGCCAACTCTGCGCACGTGCTCCAAGGAGTTCAATTCTAGATTTCAAGTCATTTGATTCGTGGAATAGAGGTCACTTTCAGAGTGCTGAAATTTTAATTTGCTCCTTCACGTGACTCTCTGAATAATAAATGTCTCCGGGGTCAGAAATAGATGTGAAAATCTGACTGATTTTCATTCTGGAGTGATGCTCCGCGGGGTGAGACCCAGCTCTGCTTCCGCCTGACGGAGACTCTGGACTCACCTACATCGCCTGTGAGTAGACCAGCTGTTTTTATTCCCATAGAAAACATTTAGCTCAAAACGCCTCAACGCTGGGGTTGTTTTATAATATTTTATACATAAGATTCCAGTTGAAAGACGCCTTTGTGCTCATTTATGAATACAAATTGCAAAAATAAATAAATAAATAAATAAAAACAATTATCAGGTGGCTGCTGAGCAATATAACTCTTAAAATTACCTTTAAACTTAAATCAGTTTAACTTATATGCAATGTTTGTAGCTGACGATTGAATAAGATACATTTAAAACTGCTTTAGAACATTTCATTCAGTTTAGTGTCACTATTACATCATATTTATTAGCTGCTACTTGTAAGAATATGACAATAGCTGAGACGAGCTCATATATAGAACACACACACACACACACACACACACACATATATGTGTGTGTGTGTGTGTGTGTGAGTCTGAATGTTATCTGGAGATAAAATAATCACGTGTACTGTTTCCCAAGTTATTGATTTTTTTTGCTCCAAAAGATCAATTATAAATTATTGTTATATATTTATTTAATTGTCCATTTTTTTGTAAAATATTGAGTCATACTAAATTTTATGTCGTGAGGAATCCAAACAGGCGATTCAACTTATTTGCATGAAAGCTAACTTTTATGTAAATACATAGTTCTGCACATGAAACCGTAAAAGTGTGTTTAAAAGGAGTGAATGTTATTTTTTATGGCACAAAAACACGAAGTACAATAAAGTTTTTGTTTTTAACGAGACCAAAGTCCCCAAAGTTTTCATTATTATTATTATTATTATTGGTGGTGGTGGTGGTTACGGTCCCTGCAGCTGCAGCTCTAAAGTCTAAACCGTTTTCAGCCATAAGAGCCGTCATCATTCCAGTGATAAAACGTTTTATTCCGAGCCTACAGTCCGTCACCGTGCTGGTCAGGGGGGTTAATTAGAGGCGGCTCCACTCAGCTCGAGGCGTTGAATTGCGCATCAGTCTTGATGTTGGCCGGTGAGAAGCCTCTCTGAAGCGGTTATCTTCAGCTGAGAGGTTCGGTAACCCAAACCCGGCTGTTAAGAGCTCCGAGTGTCAACATTGTGGGGAGACGTGGACCGCCCTCTGGCCGTCTGGCCGGCGTCCACGCCTCTCCTGGTTGCTGACAGCGATAAGAAGTCTTGATTTGTTGAAATACTTCTCAAACATTAGTGTTACTGAGCTGAAAACCCTCTCATGTCGTGTGTTGGGTTTACTCGCGTGGGAAACAAGTGCAAAATGACTTTTTGCCACTAGATCTTGACTTTGAGTTTCTATCTTCTCTTGGTTTTTGAGGCCCCCCACCCCCCATGCCTGTGCCCGGGTCAGAGGAGAGTTCAGGTGCAGTGGTGAAAGGTAGAGCGCGGACGTGTGGTGCCATGTTGTCATCCTGCATCTGTAAAAAAAAAAGAGCCATAAAGACAACATGAAGTAATGAGCCATCGTTTCTGTTGAAACTAACTCGTCTTGCTGCTCCTCTCCTCGTCTCCTGTTGGATGAACACGTGAACCGGTCTGCTCTTGACTCTAAATGTTCGCCTCTCGGAGGACAAAGGCTGCTGTGCCTGTGGGGTTGTCTCTGTACGCCCAGGGTGATTAATAGTTCTGGTGGACTTTCCACGCCCGCTTCTCCGTGTTGACGGAAACAAGCACCAAACGGAGCCCAAGAGGAGAGAAGCTCTTCCGGGCTACGATTTTTAGGTAAAACCTCCTGAGCCTGAAGGCAAATCCCTTCAGTGTGCGCACGTGACACTTTTTTTTATTGGGATTTCTTTTTATTTGTTCGTTTTAGAGAAAAATTAAGCAAACTTAAAAAAAAGAAGTAACTGTACACCTTCAGTCAGCTGATCGGAAATGTGTGCATGTTGGTCTAATGGGGTCCGTGTAGTGATCAGCGGGGTCGAGCAGCCTCTCTCTGGTTACCTCACCTCCACCTTCCGCCCTCCGCTGACCGACAGACCCCCCGTCCTCCCCGCGACCACCAGGACACGCAGCCTCCTCGCGGATGACAGGTAAACGTGTAATGTTAAGGGTTTTCTTACGCTCGTTTTGGTGATGGAGGAGCAGAGGCTGTTTTAGAGCGCAGGGGGCGCTGCTGAGCTCGGTGTTGTCAAATGCACACAAAAAGCAAACCTGTGCATGAAAACGAGGATAAATAATAACAAGTGTGCTTTATTCTGCCTCCTAGGACGGTGTTTGTGTTTTGGCGTTTCAGCTGCAGCCGCGCGCTCGCGCAGGATTAGCTCTTTTAGCTGCTATAACAGGCACCAAATATATGGCACTCTAAAACTGTCAGAGCAGCCGTTCCCTCTGAATGGGCGACACGTGGAAAATCTGCTTCTCAGTGAGAGGCTCGCTCCTCTGCCAGAACATCGCAGTGTCACAAACCATCTTTTATTTTTTTTCTCCTCCAAACCGATCTCCTCGGGGCAATGACTGCCTCCATTAATGATTCACAGGCTCAAATAAAAGGGATTTAAGTTGACGTTGTGTCACGTGAGCACGGAGCGCATACTACTGCGCCGTGTTATGGCACTGGGAGGAAAACCGGAGCCCCGGTCTGGCCATATGATGCAGATTATATGCTGGTTACCCCCACTTTCCGGGAGGGGAGTCCTGGCTTTGTAGTTTGATTATCGAGGGGGGAGAAAAAGGAGAAAAAAGAAAGTAGATAGAAGCGAGACGGGCTGGAAGCAGAGAGGATCCCGGCGTGGTGTGGCTGTGTTCTGCTGTCACGGACGGATATGTTTTCCACGCGGAACGACTCAGAGCTCCAGCTTTGGGAGGATGGATTTTATTTTGAGGTATTTCCGCCTATTGTTCATTGCTGTCGTGAGTTATTGCTGCGCGAGGGAGAGGTCAGCGAGAAAAGGGCTCCTTGTTGTGGTGTGAAGGAGGAAAAATATCAAAAGCTGTCGAAATTCAGATTCAGCAGAAAATGTGTGCCGATGTAAATTTTTTATCATTTCTTATTAAAACAAGTGATCGGGTGGTTTATGACGTAATAATTGAAACGTTGTTGTATTTTATCCTAAACGCATGATTAGTTTTTAGCAGGAATTTGATGTTTTCTTCTAATCAGCATCCATTTGGACAAACGGGCCATTTATCGGCTTCCAAGCAGAGCGCGCGGGGGTGCACGGGCTCAACCTGTCCCATAAAACAAAACAGCGCGTCTTTACGCTGTTTTATGTGTGCGTAAACGATACATCAAGACAATCTCCATAAAAACTGTTAAAACAAAGGAAGTTGTTGAGAGCGGAGGGGTTGTGTCGCTCCGCCGGGGAAATGAGGATATAATGGAAGACGGAGTACCATCCAGGACCGCGCGGCCGCGCGGAGGTCACGGCGCTCCTGCTTGATTTATGGGCCCAGGGACTTGGGGAAGATGGTGAGCGCGAGCTAATGACTATTCGATCCGTTGGTGGAGGAGAGAGACTCCCGAGCAGCAGGAAAACAACAAACAGCCTATTTACATAGAACTCATTAGTGTTATTAAGGTGATGAGTAGAAAGGTTTAACCCGGATGCTTCTGAACAAAATCCTATCAGAATATTCCTGGTATTTATTTTCATAAATTTGGTTTTCTGTAACATTTCAAACTTTAACATTTTTCTATAATTAAAACATTTCTTTAACATTAATAAAACATTTTAATATTGTTGTATTAAAATGGAACATTTTTATCCTAAAACATATCTGAATAAATTTAAAAAAGATCTAAAATTATTCTAAAGGTTTTTCTACAACTACCAGAATATTTATCATAATTTGAAGAAGTTTTCTGTTTCCACTATTTAAACGCGGCCTAATTCCGTTCTCTGTGAGACGAAACAATAATTATAAAAATCGATTCTGAATATAAAATCAGCCCAAACATAAAACACGCGGTATCTTACGGAGAAACTAGCGTTAAATAAAACATTTACGTCTAAAACGTGAACGCATTTGTCTTTGTGCTCGTTGTAGAATCCCAGCAGAGTGAAGTAAGGCCACCTCCCGGTGTCGGAAACACCCTGAGCTGCTTTCGGTAAGTCCATATATCTTTATTGATTTGTGTTATGAATGCTTGATGATGATATCCTTATTCAATTTCTAATAAGTAGCACACACGCCTACCAGAGCGCTGGCGGGGTCTGCAGAAGCAGCCTATAGCTTCCACGTTTCCGTGCAGCAGCAAATACGAGCAACCCGAGAGCAATAATTCCTTCTCCTCCACTTGTCTTTGTGGTGTAATTTGTCACCATAAAAGTGACGAGGGGAATCGCGGCTCTTGGAGCGGTGCCTTACTCATTTCAAAAACTACTTTCTGTGAAAGCTATCTGCTTGTAGCTGCTCCAGCCTGCTGCGCTGAAGTTTTCTAACATTATTTCTTTTTTAAATCACAATTTCTTCTTCCTCTCCTGCTTTTTCTTTGGCATCCCGCGTTGATTTTGGCCATTTTACGCACGGCTCTGACTTTTAACCCTCTCCTCGGGGCCGTGTTAAAGAGAAAGACGAATCAGCATTTCAGCAAAGGAACAAAGAAGTAAATAATTATACAAAGTGGAAACGTCGCTTTGTGAAAGAAAAAAGCAAAGTAGGCTGAAAAAATATCCTCGTGTGTGAATTTTTCTCCCACCCAACCTCCCACGCCGTGCGCGCGCTCTACCTTTCTAATTTTGTCCCGAGGCCTGAAAACAAACCCAGAAGCTCCTGCGCCTGTGTTTCCAGCTGAAGAGGGGGCCATCATAAATCTAATTCGGAGTCATTCTAGGAGCAAAAGAGAGCATGCAGAGGGATTCCCCTCTCGCGTCGCTGCCGGCTCTGCCTCCAGCGCTGCGTGTCCTCCGCTTTTTGTCTTTTGCTGATGAAACTTGTGTCCATTTTTTCACTCTCTGTGAAATATCTTCCCTTTAATATCGTGAGCTTTGATATGCCATTCTAATAGAAATGTTGGTATGTTCCTCTTAGCCGCGAGGAGAAGAAACGGAGTGTGCGTCCTTGTGCTAAAACAGCGAATCATATGCAAAAATGCGGGTTAATAATTAAGCGGCGGTTCTTTATGCTCCTTGGAAATGGAAAACCCGCCTGACTGTGCCTTTGTAGCCTCCTATGAATCCACAATTTATCCAAAAAAAGCAAATTAAATGGTCATAAGAAGACTTAAAAACATAATGTTGTCATTTATTTCTGCGCGCTCTGCCTCATTTGGTTGGGGGAGGAGGAGAAACAACCTCTTGATTTGCGCTGCCTTTCCAAGGCGCTGCTTCATTTGCATAATTTTTCTTGTCTATGGTGACGCTCTGGTTCGGGGCAGTTCACTGGTGTCTGCGTGGTACTGGTGAAGGATCTCATAGTCAAGCATTGCCTGGGCTGACGTTAATATTGCTATGAAGCCCTGTCCACTGCTCTGTGGCATGAGCAGAAATCCAGTCCTGAGAGCAGATAACTGCTATCTCTCTGACCCGACTGCTCATGCCTGCTTTGGTAATCTGGGTCTACCCATCCACGTCGAGTGAGAAGGAAAGGAAAAAGGGAGGAAAAAAGGGGGAAAGGAGTCTTCTTTCGGCTCTTCCCTTTAGGTGGCTGCTAAATGCCTGCTGCATGGCAGTCTGCCGCTGCTCCTTCCACCCAGTCAGCCCTGCCTTTAAACTTTTCTCTGGATTACCACTTTAATCGATTTCGTCGCTGAATGAGAAAATATTGCCCGCTGCTCTACATTCATCTTGAGAGGATAAGGTAAGCAGGCCAGAAATAGGCTCCCTCTGTTGTAAATGGCGGAGTTTGTGTGTCGCGCGGTGATTTATCACCGTATGACTTAGATCTCGGTTCAGGAAGAGTTCACACACACAAACACACACACACACACAGTCAGGCGGCCAGATTTCTCTGCGCGCGGAGCTCCACTCTGCCTTTTGTCTCTCTTTCTGCTTCCATTTGTGATTGTCGCTCCGCTTCTCCGCGAGATCCACGCAAAAAGCTGCTGGTGCATCCGGCCATCATGCGCAAACGAGGAGATCCAGTTTCAGGCTGCATCCTGAGGACTCGTTTTAGTCTCGATTGCTTTTTGGTGCGCGCGGCTGCACGAGCACATATTTCACGTTTTAATAACAACTTCTTTTTATTCACGCACACAGGTTATGTCTGCTGAGGGACCGTTTCAGACAGCTGTTATTTTTATTAGCGGCCTTTTATCGCCTCCTGTGTTAATCTGGGGCAGATTTATTTGATTTATGGATCCGTCCGGCTTTTTAGTTTGATTTATAGCTGCATGTATCTGGAAGGTGTTTGTATTTATGTCTTTATTTAAGAAAATATTCACCGAACCTTTATTGTTGTTAGTGCGTTTCAATCAGATAAACAAAAACTTAATTTTGGAACTTTTGCACAAAAGTAGCCTGCCTTTACAAATTATTATTATTATTATTATTATTATTATTATTATTATTATTATTATTATTATGTCTATCTGCTGCTATAGCCGGTTCTGTCCTTTCCCGTTTTTTGTTCTGTTCGCCTGTCTTACCGACCGGGATTCCCCTCTCCCCGGGCCGTTCTCGTCCCTCAGACCCTCATATATCACGGCCACGAGCCGCCTGTTAACAGCACCGCCGACAGCAGCCATTATTATGGGCCTGCGAGGAGAAGTTCACCGTCGGCATGGAGATGCATGGTTGACCCGCCCGGTTTTTCAGGTTTTCCCCTCGCGACCTTTTCATTTATGTTGCAAGTCACACAAAACATAAAGAAAAAAAAATTCTCGTTTTTATTTCCTTTCTAAATTTGGCTTTAAGGTCTCAGTTTATTATTCAACGAGCTTGTTTTCATCATAAAGAACAAGCATATGTAAAAATTGTTGATAGGCCACACAGAATGTTTTCACCTGCTACACAGGAAATTAGAGCTGCTGTTGACAGCCCTGTTGGTAGAATAATATTGTAACAGAAACATTTTTCCTGTGTGGCAACCTGCTAACGAGCCACTTCCACGGCGCGCTCTTTACGCACCAAATGTAACTTCAATCTGTTTCTCTGCTCAGAGGTTTAACGTGTCAGCCCGTTTGTTGCTGTGTTTTAACTGAATCTGATGCTTTCTGAAAAAAAGCTCCATTCTGTTTGGCGCAGACACAAGGTTAGCGCGCGCTTGTGTGAGCCATAAGGTAAACGGTAATAGTGTGCAGAGTAGTTGGCCCTATCTTTGCTCCACAGTCTCCAGTGTCAGCTCGGTATTGAAAAGTAAGATGGATCGCCACCATTTCTCCTCCTCACAGTGCTTCTTGTAACCCTAGGTTAATCCAAAGAGGCCATTGGCGGAGAGGCGTCACGTGACCACGGGGTGCCAATGTTATTCTACAAGGGTGTCAAGACCCTGTCAGTTTCTGAAATAAATATTGGGAAACGGCGAGATGCAAAAGGCAACCTACTACGACAGCTCCGCAATTTACAGTGGCTACCCGTATCAAAGCGCAAATGGCTTCGGTTATGATGCCAATCAGGTCCAATATCCCCGGGCCTCTCATGTGGAAAGTGAGTACCATCGACCTGCCTGCTCCCTGCAGTCTCCCGGCGGATCCGTGGCTCTACAGAAGCCGGGTGAGATGGCGGAGAGCTGCGACAGGACCACGGCCATGCAGGCGGCGCAGCCCAAGGTCCTCCCCGAAAGCAATCAAGCACCGGTGGCAGGCCCACCCCCTCCCTCACAGTCCCCCGGTGCCCTCAGCCAAAACGCAAGCAACGGGTCCACCCAGGCCGGTGCGAAGAACGGCTCCCCGACCTCCTCGGGCCGCAGCAAGCAGATTTTCCCCTGGATGAAGGAGTCCCGTCAGAACACGAAGCAGAAACCAGCCAGTAGCTCCAGTTCAGGTACTGTTGCACCATGCTGGGGGGAAGTGTGTGTGTGTGTGTGTGTGTGTGTGTGTGTGTGTGTGTGTGTGTGTGTGTGTGTGTGTGTGTGTGTGTGAGGGGGTTACCTCCAGCTTTACTCATGTATTCATGTCTCTACAAACCCTCATGCTGCTGTAGAGCAGCTCTTGTGTTCAGCACCAACTCCTGCTGCCCTCCAGCTGACCTGCCCCTACTGTAAACACATCTCCACTGATCACATCATGTTCCCAGAGAGACAGCAAACAAACACACACACACACAACAGTTGTTTTAGTTTGTCCTGCTGTTTTGATTAGAGGGAAACTGGTGGGTCATTTAGTGGGGGGGTCTGTGCTTCTTCCCATGACCTCTAGGTAGATGTCTGATGGATGAGTCTGTGTTTCTAATTTAAATGTTTGAAGCTCACAGAATTACAGCAAAAGGCAACGAGTCCGGTTTGTATCAGAACAAAACCAAATTCAGTCCCCCAACCAGATTAAGAGGATTTAAAAGAAGCTGCAGGCTTAGTCCAACCCTCCCTTTGGAATAAAGGCACACTGTTTGGAACAGGACAAAACACCAACCGTGTTGCTGTGAGCTTTAAAATGGATGTTTGTAATAAATCACAAAAGATTTGATCAGAATAAGTGACACTGGAAAATTCTGAATCTGGTGCAAAAGGTCATTCATGTCAGTAATCTAACTTAGAAGGTGAAACTATGTGACAGACTCATTCCAGACATAGCCAGAGATATTTCAGCACTTACCAGTTATAACTGTGATGATCAGCTGATGAAAACCCAACATTCAAAATCTCAGAATATTGTGAAAAGTTCAATATTCTGGACTCAAACTGTCACACTTTAATCAGCTAATGGATCACCTGCAGAGGCTTCCTAAGCCTTTAGATGGTCTCTCAGTGTGACCTGGACTTTAGCTCCAGATACCAGTTTTTACTGTTTACCTGTAAATAAGGATTCCTGTGAGGTAACGCCAGACGTTGGCTGGAGGAGACGTCATGTTTGATCCATTCACAGCCTGACAAACAAAAAGGAAATGGAAAAAATATATATTTATTCTAACTTTGCTATTTATTAGCAAACTTCAGTAAACTAAAGGAATGCATTTAAACAATAGCAAAATAATGACGTTCTATTAAATTGGCACTTGCTCTTTCAACAGACATGTAGGATTCAGTTCTGCAGGTTTGTCCTGGTAAAGATTTAGCAGACATGAGGGATTTGTGACATTTGCCAAGTCTGAGAGCACACTCACATAACACACCACAACTTCCTGCAGCTCCGGACACAAAGAGCTGCCAGCAAAATAAACACATAGAAATAAACAATTTAAACTGTTTCTGTCGGCCGCTGGAGTAAAAACATCTAATAATAAATTATGGAAATTTTGTAAAATGAAATAAATCCTCTTTCGAACACAGCAGAGACATTTGATGCCTTCAATAAGAGGCGTGTTGAGGTCTGGTTGTGTTTGGATGCTTTATTGGGTCAAATATGGAGAGATTCTGCGTTTCAGAGCTTAAATGGATGCTTTTAATGTGACGTTTAGATGAAAGTTTGTCATAATGATTCTGTGTAACACTTGGATGCACATTTGCCTTTTATAGGCCCTTTTAGAGTTTTATTGTGAAAAATAATTTAAATGTGCTCCTTTGTCCCATCCCCATGAAACACCAAGCTCACACAGCCCTTCTCTCTCAGCTGTGCTGGATCATTATGGGTCAGGCTATGTCATGTTGCATTCCTTTGACTCCGGCTTTGTGAGACAGGTAGTGATATTTATTAAGTGTTGGCCAGCTGCCACGGCCATGCACAGACCAGTTCTACTGCTCTGCAGCTTCTGAAGCTTATCAGAGAGGGCAGGAGCCGCACCACGCGCCCTGAGGAATATGATGCTTGCATTATGCTCTTGTGTGACTGCATGGAGCAGGATGAGGGTCAGGATATTTTAAACCTCAGGTCAGATACTCTGTTCTGGTTCATCTGAATTAATGTTTGGCCTGTGCACTGATTATTAATTGTCTCATACTCCTCTGATGAGAACCACTAAGTCTGGAGAAGATTTGTCAAAATCTGAGATGTTTGCAACACAAATATTTAACAAATAGGTAAGAAGCAGAGAATGAGTGAGTTCTTTAGAGGGAAAAGTACCTTAATGGGCGTATTTATCTGGTAAACACGCCTATCACACTCCACCCCCACCCCCTCCTGATAGGTGAGCTTCTATATCAGTGGATGTGTTGTCACTGTTCTGCTCCCACTCATTCTGCCGTGTGTGTGTGTGTGTGTGTGTGTGTGTGTGTGTGTGTGTGTGTGTGTGTGTGTGTGTGTGATGGATCACTGACTGACATCCTCCTCTCCGTCTCCTTGACAGTGGAGAGTTGCCCCGGAGACAAGAGCCCACCAGGGTCAGCAGCATCAAAGAGGGCCCGGACAGCTTACACCAGCGCGCAGCTAGTGGAGCTGGAGAAGGAGTTCCACTTCAACCGGTATCTCTGCAGGCCCAGGAGGGTGGAGATGGCCAACCTGCTCAACCTCACCGAGAGACAGATCAAGATCTGGTTCCAGAACCGCAGGATGAAGTACAAGAAGGACCAGAAAGGCGTTGGGATGATGCCTTCTCCTGGTGGACAGTCCCCACGGAGCCCAGTAGGCCCTGCTTCTGGTGGGGGAGGTGGTGGGGGAGGTGGATACCTCAGTTCTATGCATTCTCTGGTTAACAGTGTCCCATACGAGTCCCAGTCACCGACCTATAACAAACCCCATCAGAACGCATACGGTATGGCTACGTCATACCCCCCTCCTTTGAACAACTCCTTGAACAACTGCCCCCCCTCCCAGAAGAGGTACCCAGGCACAGACTCGGCCACGCCCGAGTATGACGCGCACGCGCTCCACGGAAGCGGAAACTACGGGACTCACATGCAGGGCAGCCCCGTGTATGTCGGCGGGGGCTACATCGATTCGGTGCCCAGCTCCGGTGCGTCGGTTTTCGGCCTGACCCACCTCCCGCACCCGCCGTCCGCAAACATGGAGTATAATGGCGCAATCACAATGGGCAACAGTCAACACCACGGAGTGTGTGACCCCACACCGACGTACACAGACCTAACGCCGCACTACTCTCAGGGAAGAATCCAGGAAGCGCCCAAACTGACGCATCTGTAGCGGAGGCGCAGCGCGGATCAGTCCGCCCATTGTCTCCATCCACCTCCAGACATTTACCCGCTTTGTTTCTGCTGCGCCTCCTCACGGCCTCCACCTTCTCCCCGATGCTTTTGTTTATGTTCTCTATAGTTTATGTGTGAAGTAGCAGTAGGATAAATAATCACGGATTTTCCTCTATTTGCGTGTCTGACAGTAAGACGGGGGAGGGGGGGGGGGTTACGTCATTAGCGTATTTAATCTTTTCTTTAAGAACAAACCTCTTGTTTTAAATCTCAAACAGGGTATTATGAACTCATGTTAGTCATTTGAATGTGAATCTGACCGTTCTTTATCCGCATTTGAAGAATTGTTTGTATTTTTTTGCATTTTGTTGCACTTCCTGAAAAGCCACGGAGTTTGGGATTGAGAGGGAATCCGCCCTGAAGGAAAACCGTCCTGTTTTGTTCCATTTCTGTTATTTATTTGATGCTTTCTGTAAAAGACACCCACGCTGACTCTTTAGTATTATCTGACACTCCTCCATGTTTGTGTGGAGGCTTGGTGGGAAACGATCCTCGGCCGTTTTCAGCCCATAAGCACGCATCCTCAGCAGAACCGAACCGGGCCGAACCATGTCTCCATGTTTCTTCTCCGAGGAGTTTTATCCCATTTTATTTTCTCAGCGATTGTAAGAATCAATCAGTCATGCAATAAGGGTGGAAGAAGGACACGTTTGCATTTTCTTTATTGAATAAAAGACAAACACACGTCATCATTTTTCTCCCTCGGTGTCAAACATTCCGCTGCTCCAGATCGAAGGAATAAATAAAATAATTGAAATGAAAACACATCCTTCAGGTTTAATTTGGCAGGAAGTTTTTACAAAATCTTAGTAAAAAATACAAAAACATGAAGCGGTGGAATTATTTATTACGAGTTAAATGTTTATTCCCAGGCATAAAACAGCACAAATGTTGTTTAAAACTAGCATAAAATGTTCAGACAAATCTATTAAAAACATGTTTATATTTTTGTTCCTAAAGGAAATATGACAAATTTTGAACAATAATAAAAAAACATCCGCAGATAAAATCAAGCACTTGCTGTATTTTCCTCTGAAGGGTGGCCCTTTGCGCGGCTCATCCATAATAATAAAAATGTCAGCCAGGCCTCGTGTGGAAGTCCTGCAACGAGACAAGAAGCTAAATGAGAACCCGCTTCAAAAACGGCGCACTGATGCAGTTGTGTGGCTGCGGGGACAGAGAAGCTGCATGGACACTTTTTATTCACCCTGCTAAAATTGAAAACGTGCATATTATAATGGAGCCATTCTCCAAAAAATAAATAAACAACAATAACAAGCAAAAACGATTTTTATTATTTCTTTTATTTATTTATTTGGCATTAAATCGTCATATCATAATTTCGTAACCTACCCATGGAAAGTAAATGTGTGGAAAAATAAAAGAAAAAAGCAGCAACTTTCTGCAAACCTCGGTCACACCGTCCACATCTAACCCGTCCTGCTTCGTTTTCGTGTGTTTTTGTTGGACTCATTTTCAGTCCAACGTGATTGATTTCAGTGGGCTCGAGCATTTCTTGACCTGACATATGGTTAGCAGGGAAACCCAGAACAATTGGAGCACAGTGTGTTATGAAAAAAGCTGAAGCTTTGTGTGTTCCTGCATCCAGAAATCACGTGCCAGCAGCAGAAATAAACGTTTTAAATCATTATTATATTTATTTTTAAGGGGTTTTGTTTTTATGGGAAACGTGTCATGAATGGGACTCAGTTTAATAATAAGAGTGTGTAGGCAGGCTGTGCGCCCCTACATGCCGACACCCACTCCTTTTGCACACAGAGCCTGTGCGTAAATCCAAAGTCCTCCACTGACTCATCCGCTCACTAAAATAATCTAAAACGAAAAAACATGCACCCTTGAAAATATTCACGAAGATAAAAGCCAGGTGGGGGATCCTGCCTCGCCCCCCTCTCAGCTACTCACCGCTGGTGAACTGCAGCCCCTCTCAGAAAGGAAACGGTCGCATCTCGTGCGTCTGGATTCTTTCTCTTTTCTGCTCTAAAACATCCCTCCAGCGACAAACGCGAGCAGAAACTGGTTCTAATCTGAGTGACCAGTGTTTCTCGGCGCTTCCTGGCTGCATTTGATCCGGGGGAGAGTTAGAAGCCTTAAATGTGTTGTGAGGGCACCGAGCTGTCAGACCTTTTGGCGAGTAAGATTGATCGCGCGCAGGCTTCCAGGACTCTTTGTTTGGTGTATAAGCAACAAACTGAGAGAGGCCTACCACTTCTCCTCTCTCCCTCTCTCATAAACCATATTTATAGTTTTGTCTGAATGAGACAAGGAAATAACATTCTGATTGTTGCGATCACGGATTATTCTGGAAACCAAACATGGCGGCTGGAGAGCAGCTCAATAACATCTGCATAATAACGCTACAAATGGGTGTGCTGTAAATGGTCGATGGTAACTGTGTTGGTGCTGGATTCAATGCACTTTCTGCTAGAAGTGATAATGGAAATATAATGGGAGGCTTTTTCCCAGCAGCCACGCGGTGTTTGACATGAAAACTGAGCTGCCTCGGTTTATAAGGAGGCATCATGACGCGTTTAGGGGTCTGAACTGTTTGGAAACAGAAAACAAGAAGCTTGTGTTTTTATTTTATTTTTATTTTTTTATATAAAATAAATGTTGAGTTTAGCGCTAGAATCCAGCTTTGATGCAAAATGTATCCCATAATGCATTTATTATGAGTGACTGTATCACACTTCTGCACAAGAGGCTCCTTTCATGTGATAACATTATTTAGATATAGTTTTCTTGGTGTGTGTGTGTGTGTGTGTGTGTGTGTGTGTGTGTGTGTGTGTGTGTGTGTGTGTGTGTGTGTGTGTGTGTGTGTGTGGTGGGGGCGTTCTCGACTGACATCCTCAAACAATACGAGAAAAGAGGAGTGCACGAATCCGCGCACCCGTCTCCGGGCTCCTTCCCTGTAATAGAGAGCGTCAGCCATTCTGAAAAAAAAAACTGGTTTTGTAGCTTAGTGGATTCGACTGGAGGAGCGCGAGGAGGATAAACTGAGCGGACAAAGATGTAAATAAAAACAGTCGTGTCCCAGCTGAGCGAGGCGATCTTCAGCAGAGTTTTTGGATCAATCAGGCAGACTCTGGCTTCTTTTGATGAAAGCCCAAATTGTCATTGGACAGAGGTAATCATGTGACAGGCAGTTCGGTCCAATTTCAACCTTGTCTCCATGAATTCAATAGTTTAATGGTAGCTCGGTCCCCACACGGCCGTAATCAGTGAAACAGAAAAAAGAGGAGATTTTTAATGATTTTTTTCTTTCTCGTCCTCACTGAGCCGCAACATTTATAAAAATACGCGCGCAAACTTTCCTCGGCTCTCAGGGAGCGGAGATGAATTACGAATTCGAGCGAGAGAGCGGTTTTATCAATAGTCAGCCGTCGCTTGCTGAGTGCCTGACATCTTTCCCCCCTGTCGCTGATTCATTTCAAAGTTCATCAATCAAGAGCTCGACGCTTTCACGCCCGACACTGATTCCTCCTCCCTTTGAGCATACCATCCCCAGCCTGAACCCGGGTAGCCATCCCCGCCACGGCCGGCCCAGACACAGCCCCGATGGATGCAGCCCGCTGCCCACCGCCTCCTTACCCCCGGAGTACCCGTGGATGCGGGAGAAGAAAGCTTCCAAGAGGAACCACCTGCCGACCGCCACCGCCACCACTACCATCTCCAACGTCTGCTTCTCTCCAAAAGGTGGGTGAATTACAGGAAAGTCTGTTGCTGCGTAAAGGCCCTCCTAAAACCACACAAAAGACCAGGAACAACAGCGTGCCGTGGTGTGTTTGTGGGCATTTTACTGGTGTGTGTAGAGAGTTTGGCTAAAGTTTGGTGATGTAAGATGATTTCTTCTCCTCGCAGAAGCAGAGTTTTGATGTGTGACAGTAATGAAGAGTGATGGAGTGGCTTAGCCGAGGAGGGCAGCTGCAGCATTCATTAGAGCCCCACGCCAGCATGGACCTCTGTTTGCTGCAGGCTCGGGACTCTTTTTTAATATTCTCTTATTTTTATTTTATTTTATAGACAACGAGGTGATTGTAGCTTATATCCGGGTCATTTCTGGCTAAAAGCAGCTTTGGTCAGCGGCTCAGCGGCCATTTTGCTGCAGCGTGCCTTCACTGGTGGATTGATAACAACCCAGACTAAGATGAACAGGCAGAGGGGTTATGTAATTTCTGTGTCTCCACGTTTTAATTCCGTGTTCATTTTCCAGGCTCGCCTGAGATCGTGGAGAGCGGTGGTGGAGGAGGGGGCTCCCGCCGGCTGAGGACCGCGTACACCAACACGCAGCTCCTGGAGCTGGAGAAGGAGTTCCACTTCAACAAGTATCTGTGCCGGCCGAGGAGGGTGGAGATAGCGGCCCTGCTGGACCTGACGGAGAGGCAGGTCAAAGTCTGGTTCCAGAACCGGCGCATGAAGCACAAGCGGCAGACGCAGAGCAAGGAGAACCACAACGGGGACGGGAAAGGCCCCGGCGCCGAGGACGGCATCCACAGCGAGGAGGAGGAGGAGGACGGGGGCCCCCTGTACGAGCAGAGCGGGCCCCTGCTGGAGAGAGATACCTGCTCCTTTCAGAACAACGCGCAGCAGCTTCACAATGGAGATTCGGCCAGCTTTGGTGCTGCTGCGCCGCTGAACAGCAATGACAAAAATCTGAAACATTTTCCCAACCCGTCACCCACTGTTCCGGGCTGCATGTCAACAATGGGCCCTGGCTCGGCATCTGGGCCGGACAATGGGGACAGTCCCTCCGCTCTGGATGTTTCTTTACACGACTTTCAGCCTTTCTCCTCGGATTCCTGCCTGCAGCTCTCGGACGCAGCCTCGCCCAGCCTGTCGGAGTCCCTGGACAGCCCCGTGGACATTTCCGCGGACACGTTCTACTTTTTCTCGGAGTCACTAACAACAATCGACCTGCAGCATTTGAACTATTAGCCAGAATCACTCGCCGTACTCTCACATATATATTTTCTCTCTTTCTCTTTTTTTTTTTGTGAAATCAAACGAGAACTGGTAATTAATCTGATTACATTTGTATATTCGGCACATTATTCTGTTGCTTTTTGACGATTAATTGAAGGTAAGGATGAAATTAAATCACTGAAATAGCTAAAGTAGCTCGTAATTATCACAACTTGATCACTTGGAATTGAGTGTGTGTGTGTGTGTGTGTGTGTTTGAGAGAGAGAGAGAGAGAGAGAGAGAGAGAGAGAGAGAGAGAGAGAGAGAGAGAGAGAGAGAGAGAGAGAGAGAGAGAGAGAGAGAGAGAGAGAGAGAGAGAGAGAGAGAGAATGCAACAGTATTAGACCTATAGATCCGGGTCATTTTTATTTTTGTATAGTTTCCAATGTCTTGGATATTTTTGTTAGAATACAAATAACTTGCTACAATCTTTCTTCTGGTGTTTGAGTTTTTTATTTTATTGAGCAAATTTAAATTATTCTGGAAATAAAAAAACAAGAATGAAGAGTTTACTAAGCAACAACAGGTTGGTAATGAATAAAAATGATCCAGTTTGCACTGCGTGTTTGGAGAATTTAAAAACCGATGCTTTAGTGACGTTTATATGTTTATTTTTCCGAGTAAAACGTGTAAGCAGCTTTTTATATTTAATAATTTCTTTTCGTAAATGCGCAAAGCCATAATTTGAGCTATTTCCAATTTCAGCTGCAGGAATAAATAATTAGAAGACCAAATTTGCACCCAGGATCTGAGCATGACAAGGCTCCAAACACGGCGTGCAAGTTGCAAGCAAACACCCGACCCATGTTTGCCTTCAGGAGCTCATAAATCACTCCGTGGCATGAATGAGGCGGACATTAAAGAGAGCAATTGTGGCGTAATGTGCACAAATAAAAACCCCACTTACGTTTTCATGCGGGACTCCCCGATTCCTAAGCTAAAAGGGGCCGAGCTCTCTGCGTGCGTTTGGTAATAATTCATTTTTATGGCTTGTTTAACACGCGGCTCTGACTCGGAGACAGCAGCAGCAGCAGCAGCTCAGGTTAAAGCTGCTCTTATTTAGCGTCGCTTCTCCACTCACACTGGTGGAATCTGTGATTTTTTTAATTTAAAGACAAGACTGGTTTGTGTGCGTTTCAAACCCCTCACTTCAATAAAGGGATTATGAACATTTTAGCACTCTTGCGCAGCTTTGATTGGATTTATGGGAACTCAATAATCCAGTTTAACTCAGAATCACTAAAAAACACCAGTTGAGATGAAAGCTGCAGTGATTTTTCAAAACGTGTCAAACTTAGCCGAAAGCAGAAAATCAGCTCTAACTTTGGCTGTGTGCGTGTGTGGGTGTGTGTGTGTGTGCGCGCGCGTGTGTTCAGATGAGGGGGTGGTAGGAGGAAGCAGGGGGCAGATGCTGCTCTCCTGCACTACGGGCCTGCATAACCAAATCATTCCGAGACAGCGCGCCTTTTCTGCGCCCCCGCGGCCACACAAAGAGCCGCGGAATCTCCGCGGGGCCCGGCTGGCCTCAAGCAGCAGAGACGCGATGGATCCTCCGCGCCCACTCACTACAGAGGCAGCTGCTGGAGAGGGGTGGGGGTGGAATGGAAACCAGTTCGTGTCTCTCTCTCTCTCTCTCTCTCTCTCTCTCTCTCTCTCTCTCTCTCTCTCTCTCTCTCTCTCTCTCTCTCTCTCTCTCTCTCTCTCTCTCGCTCTCTCTCTCTCTCTCTCCCTCCCTCTGCTATGTAGTTTGCAACAAGTCTTTGAACATTTTCACATCTAATTTTGTTTTTCTAACATCCTAAAACATTACATTTAAGACAAAGTAGAACTACATTTGACTAATGGAAAAAAGCTGCACATTTGAATGTTGCTAATATTTTACTGATACTGCTTGTTTGAGTACCAGTGAGACAACTTAGACGTTTGTAGGAAAAATAAATAGAGTGTAAAATCTGAATCACGCTTTTCTGAGCTGAATTAATCTACTTAATAACAGAAGCACGTTTATTTAAGTGCATGTCTATCTTCAGCCTGAGGGGGCGCTCATCCCTCCATCTGATCCTTCCCTTCGCCCTCCCTCCCTCCCTCTCCTCTATTCCTTCCTCGGTTAGAGGTTGGGCATCTGCTACAACCCCCTCACTCCCCTCCGCTCTCGCGCCTCCCGTGACCATTCGTTTTCCCAGCAGCTTTATTTGATGAACTTAACAGGATAATCAGCCCACTCGCACCTCGGGCTACATATGCGCATTAGCAGGCTTCGCATTATTATATCATTTGATCACCATACATGCATAATGAATACATGCGGGACTGGAACTCTGGTAGATGGCTGACCTATGACCCGAGAACGGAACAAAACATTAATATCAAATCACCTTAATGGTTTTGTCTCCTAATCACGTTTGTGCGCTACTTCAGGCACATTTTAAACGTAATTTGAGCTTTTTGCGCAACCTTTTGCGGTGTTTTATGAATATATGACCGGATCATCTCTCCTCGTAACGTGAAATGCACAAACCTGCTCCTGCTGCGACCTTAAGAGGAAACGAAATTCTGCTGGAAGGTGGCTTGGTGCGATGGGATGGATGTGTTTAACAGGGGAAACACGTCCTCTCCATCACATTGTAACAATATTTGCCCAGAAAATCCCTTAATGTTCCAGCGTGAAACATTTCACATCGGAATGGGACATTAATAGCCTAAAGATAGCCCGCGGCTGCAGCGAGCGCGCGCACTCTCAGCCATCCATCCTTCCTGGACAGAATGACACATGCGACACCAGGGCTTATACGCACGGAGACGCCAACACACGCGCGCACGCACACAGACTCACACTTCTCTGTTCTAAAAATACCTGAGGTCAGAGTGCAGAGCGGTCCACCTTGGATGACATCTCTCCTCAGTGTGAGATTGCGCAGCAGGGGGTTAAAAGACACCGGGTTCACCGTCTCAGCAGCTCCTCGTGTGCGGAGCTGTCCACCTCCGTCTGCCTCCCAGCCCATTGTTTGCTCGGCCAATACATTAGTGGCGACGCGCGTCACCTTGATCGACGAGCGCCTGGAATTTAAATAGCCCCTCAAACACCAATCTGTCACCGGCTAAAGGGACAAGGACCCTCACTGGCTGACCCGTGCCCACGTGACAGTGCCCGTTCATTGATATCCCCAGCACCCCCCTCCCTGCACTGATAGGGACAGAAAGGTAAAGGTTGGCACGGTCACTTTAGGGTGAGAGTGTGGAGAGATCAGAGGGGGAGAGGACAGTCTCCTGGTCCCAGACTAACGATGCTACAATGAGCAGCTTCCTAGATTACTCGGTGATGAGCGGTGAGGGTGGCTCATGTTCGATCAGGGCTTTCCACTCGGACCACGGGATTACAACTTTCCAGTCCTGCGGGGCTGCAATCAGCAGCTGCGGGGCGGATGAGCACTTCATGGCAAACAGGACTTCCCCTGACAGCATCCCTCACCAGCCGGCCTCTTACCAGCCTACTGCCACCTCTATGGGTCTCTCCTATGGGGCCCACCCGGCCTGTGGCTCTAACTATGGGCCCCAAAGTTTCTGCGCCACGTACAACCACTACACACTCAACCAGGAAGTAGACTCTGCACCTGCATTCCCCCAGTGCAGCCCTTTGATGTTTTCAGGTAACATCTCTTCCTCCATGGTGTCTCAGCATCGCCATGGCTACAGTGCTGCCACCTTGGGCCAGCTGCAGTATGCTGCTTATGGCGGGGGTCATGAACAGGCACCTTCTTATCCTGGGGCCTCCAACCCGCTGTCACCTCTGCATGCAGCTCACCTGGAAGCTTGCTGCTCACCTCTGTCAGAGAGCGCATCTTCTGCGCAGACTTTCGACTGGATGAAAGTCAAAAGAAATCCACCGAAAACAGGTGGGTGCAGAGCTGTACCAGCACGAGGGAGATGGGTGGGAATCTAGTCTGTTGCTATTATTGGTTTTAATTGGTTTTAATCGGTCAAGCAGACTGGAATCCACACAGGAGATGTTGACACTGCGAGCGCGTTGACGCGCAAACGCATTAAATGTCCATGTTTCCACTTCAAGCGTGCGCCCCTTTCTTTTAAAAGTTGGTTTAAAGACATTTGTCTTTAACTATAGAGTGTGTTTTATATGTAAAATAATTAGGTTTTATTTGCCTGCTGCGTAAAAGTTGGTTCTTTTGGAAAATCGCACAGTTTGTGCGTCCTTTGGGTGAGAAAATAAACTTGAATCCCTCTTCCTGTCCCCAGGTCGCTCCGGCGAGTACGGCTATGCGGGCCAGCCGAACATCGTCCGGACCAACTTCACCACCAAGCAGCTGACAGAGCTGGAAAAAGAATTCCACTTCAACAAATACCTGACCCGGGCGCGCCGAGTGGAGATTGCTGCTGCGCTGCAGCTGAATGAGACTCAGGTGAAGATTTGGTTTCAGAATCGGAGGATGAAGCAGAAAAAGCGCGAGAAAGAGGGGATGCTGCCGGCTAAGGTCCAGTCATCGCACCCGGAAGAAATAAATCAAGAGAAATTAGACGATGCCGCTTCTGAGAGGTCCGTCTCAGCGCCGTCCACGCCCTCTCCCAGCTCATCCACGGTGTCCTCCACTGGCACGGACACGTACACCTCTACCTGAGCAGCCTATCTGGGCCACACGGGCCTGTAAATACCAACGTTTAAATGTATCAAAACCAGAGTCTTTGTTCGTGAATGACATTGTGTGAACATTTATTAAAGTTAGTCCTCCATCCGGGAGCTTTTGGATCACCCTGGAGCTTTAGGTTTAAATTGTGCAATGTGTCTGCAAGAACATCTCTGTATCTTCAGATAAGTTTGATCTGTAACGTGAGCAAAAAAAGGCAGACACGAGTCTGCAAACGAAAACAAATGTAAAGTGGTGCATCCGGGTCATGGCGGGTATGATACAGCGCAGGGTGCTGTTAAGTGAGCAACGCAATGACCTAGTACGCGCGCGTGTACTCTGATGTGCATCGATGCCTGAGGCGCTGAGTTTTATCAGTTGCGGTACTTTAGGGTCCAAGCTTAAGCGGTTATTGAAATGAAACTGGTGCAAACTGGCGCAGAAAGACGATTACGGGTCAGTCATTAAAGTGCGTTTAAAAATTTCCCTCCGTGTTATGTTTTTGTGGAAACATGGGGCAACAAATAATAAAAGACACAGTTTTGAACCGAGGTAGCACGTATTTGATCACAAGTCTGCCTATAAATGAGAAAGTGTAGAAATACCACGTGTGTGTTAATGTATGCGTCCGTGCACGCTGCCGTCCCATGAGGCGAGGAGTTATTGGCATAATAAAGGCTTGTTTATCCGTGGGGAAGATGAGAGCGCGTGTCAGCCCAGCGTCGTTTGTGATGGCCTCATCGAGTTTACGGCTTATCGAGGAAAAAACCGGTATTGATTGAAACATGGAGGTTAAGCTATTGACAAAGACACGGAGCACCGCGGGTCCTGTCACAGTCAGCTCTGACGTCCCCAAGTTACTTGAAGGTGTCCCCAACCTGATGTCAAGATGATGTGAAAACGTGCAGTTCCAAATCTCAAAGTTTAAGAACTAAATGCGCAAAACACATGGGCGTTTTTGTTAGTTTTACGCGTTAAAAACGCTTCTGGGGATGTAGAAACACATTGAGTATTCGAGGCTTTGAGGGTGCGAGCAGGCTGGGTTTTGTTGTGTTAATTCCTGGTGTGCAGGATGCGAGTCCATCCTACCTTAAAAGGACAAAGAAACGCTGAAACACGCATGATTAATGATCGTCGTTCACCTTTACCTTGGATCCACCTGCGGGAGCGGCAGACACGTGCAGAGGCTGCAGGAGAGTAAGTTATGGACACACTCTTCTCTTTTATTCGATTATTCTCACATCTTTTTATTTCCAAGGCTGTTTTTGTGTTTGAGGACAAAGAGCGTTTGTGTCACAAGGTTATTCTGGAAAAAGAGCCGCCCTCATTCTGGATTGTTTCGGTACAAATAGTAAAACACGGTGGTTGCTGCTGTTAAAGCCTCAGGATTAAGGTTAAAACGTACCGTTAATTATTGATGTTGTTTGTTTGATGCTTGCTTCTTTTAAAACGTTTTCAGAGTAAAAACCTTTGAATATCAGGAAAACGACTAAACTTCCATCAGTCTGATTTAAATAAACGACTTAACAAGTATCTATGGATGCAGGTTTGCGCTTTATTTAATTTATTATTTTATTAATTAGATAAACTGAAATATTTTCATTAGTTTTCAAATAAATAAACGTAAAATCTATCATCCGTCTATCTATCTATCTATCTATCTATCTATCTATCTATCTATCTATCTATCTATCTATCTATCTATCTATCTATCTATCTATCTATCTATCTATCTATCTATCTATCTATCTATCTATCTATCTATCTATCTATCTATCTATCTATCTATCTATCTATCTATCTATCTATCTATCTATCTATCTATCTATCTATCTATCTATCTATCTATCTGTCTATCTATCCGTCTATCTATCTATCTATCTATCTATCTATCTATCTATCTATCTATCTATCTATCTATCTATCTATCTATCTATCTATCTATCTATCTATCTATCTATCTATCTATCTATCTATCTATCTATCTATCTATCTATCTATCTATCTATCTATCTATCTATCTATCTATCTATCTATCTATCTATCTATCTATCTATCATGTTGTGACACTATAATTTAATTCTTTATGGCATCTTGAATAAATGTTTCAGCGTTTATATAAAAATTTAAAATAAAAATATATGTTTTTTATTTTAACACACAGATTTCTGAAATTTGTTGTAAAAATATAAACAACAAAAACAATAAATCATTTACAGTAATACAAATAATTAATTGATATAATGAAGCAACTCGATTTTTGTTTATTAAATGTTTATTAATGTTTATTAAATGTTTATTAAACAAATGTTAATTTTTTTTAATGCGAATCACCATACCTCATTTTTAACCCATCAGTGCTTTTATTTGGAGGCCCTTAACCTCCTGCGGGTCCCCGAGGAGACCCCGGACCCCACCGTTCTCCCAAGCAGGAGCCCCAGATGAAACCTCGGGGTCAAACGTCGGTCAGGTTGCAGATTTTCACATCCAAACTAAAAAAAAAAAAAAAAAAAAAAAAAAAAAAAACAGTTTACAGACCGGACAGGTCAAACAACAGACACACTCGATCTACGGCGGATTGTTTGACCAAAACACCCTCGGAACCATCTTTAAAACAACAACTAGAACCAACCCACACAAGGCTGGAAAGTTGTTGTCCTGCGAGAGGACGTCCAGCTCCAGCTGATGATTCCCATTAGGAGGGGGACAGATGTTTAACCATTAGAGCTCCCGAAGTTCAACGTTACGTAAAACAAGTTCGTTTCTAATTAAGGGGACATTTTTTATGTATTTATCATTTATTTAAATCTGCCCAAATTGTGGATAATAATAATAATTTAATTTAAAAATTGAAATAAATCTACAAACAAATTAAATACAGAACATTTATAAACTGTAAACTTGTTTATAATTTAGCATCTAGTTTTCAACCATAAAAAAAATCTAATTTATAATCCTTAAAAATTTTATGCTGAATATAAAAAAATAAATCATCTTTAAATATTTATTTTTGGGAGAAGAATCCTAATTATTTAAGATTTCTTTGAACAGTTTTATAATTTCAGTTTTATTATTACTTTGTTCGTTATTGATAACAAAACAACAACTACAACAAAATCTTTGTGTTAATTTAGAAGTTTTAGAATTTTACTTTTAAAACTTTCATTTAGAAACCATAACTTTTGAAATGTAATTAAAGTTAAACATTTTACTATGAATGATTAAAACAGTTTTTCAACCTTAAAGATTCATTAGAAATTCATTAAAGCATAAAGGTTTTAGCAGGATCAACAGAAACAATTAAAGAAACAAAAAAGAAGCAAAGATCGTCACCTGAGTGTGAACTATTTATCTCAGAACACACACACACACACACACACACACACACACACACCACACACACACACACACACACACACACACACACACACACACACACACACACACACACACACACACACACACACACACACACACACACATTTTCGTATAAAAGGCCGGTTTTAAGAGTAAAGTTCTCATATTTGGATTTCTTCTGTGAATGTACTGTGTGTGTGTGTGTGTGTGTGTGTGTGTGTGTGTGTGTGTGGTGTGTGTGTGTGTGTGTGTGTGTGTGTGTGTGGTGTGTGTGTGTGTGTGTGTGTGTGTGTGTGTGTGTGTGGTGTGTGTGTGTGTGTGTGTGTGTGTGTGTGTGTGTGTGTGTGTGTGTGTGTGTGTGTGTGTGTGTGTGAATCACAGGTCAAATATGAAAGAGGATTCCTGAGTCAGATCAATTTTAGGATGATTTTGGATCAAAAGATGTTATTTTACAGCCACTGAGTTTAGTTTTACTAACAAAACATGAGGATCCTTGAAGGTACGTTCTAATTTCTTCTAACCTTGTGTGTGTGATTGCATTAAAATCTAAGTAAAGGGTGCACAGAGGCAGTCTGAGTAATCTTCTGAACACCCTTGGACCTTCATTTTACACACCGTTAAATCCTGAAGAACATCTTTAAAGTGTTTTTAAGAAATGCTTTCAGTTTCATATTGATGCTTACGGAGGCTCAGACAAAAGCTGAGAGACAGAAGTCACTCATCACGGCCATCCAGGTATTGGCACATCTGCACGCATTGACCACACCCCCGGTGTGATTGGCAGACAAAATGAAATCCCTCATCGACAGATGTGCATCTGTGTGCCAATAGAGCCGATGGAGGGACTGACAGAGTGATGGAAGGAGAGAAAAAGGGAATAAGAGGAGAAATGACATCATGTGGTGCGTTTGTGTCTGCCCTGCTACGTATGTGAGCATAGTTGCTACGGCGTTAGAAGAGAGAGAAGGTGATGTGGGGAGGGGGTGAGATCAGGGAGGTAAAGCAGAGGTTGAACAAGCCACACAGGCTGAGGTGCTGCACATGTGGACACGAGACAGAACTCACCTCAAAGACTTGTCTGCAGTTTCCTTTGAGCTCCTCGATGGAGCACTCCGACTCAGGGTGCCCAGTGGAGTTAAACAAAGTGATGTGAGAGTGGAGGAGCAGTCAGGGAACTTCAGTGGGTCTGAGGCCCACGGGAGGAGCGAGGACAGGGAGCAGGGCTTGCTAGTGGTCTAGAGGACACAGGTCCATCCATCACACATGTCCCGACCTCCAGCTGACCCCAACATAGCAGCCAATGAGGTGCCCCAAACACACACACACACACACACACACACACACACACACACACACACACACACACACACACACACACACACACACACACACACACACACACACACACACACACACACCGGGCCAGTTCCATAACAGCTTCTGATGGTGTTAAAAACCAGCTAACCTTCTTCCTCTCTTCGTTTAAACTACAGAAGGAAATAACTTTAAAAACGTATTCAAAGCTGAATTTGTCCTTTTTGAGCTCCCATCAGCTACCGGCACAACAGATGTGTCTGCTCAGTTAATTTACTGACTTTTAGACATGTTTGTTTTTATTATGGATATCTGCTCTGATGGTCATCCTCTGCTGCAGAAGTTAACCAGTGAGAAACAGCAGCTCAGAGTACAATTTGATAAAAAACACACATAAGCATAGATGTTCCTGAATGATATAATAAATGGCTGAACAACATAACAGGATTCCATTTACACGTTGTAATACATTTACTTGTTTGCTCATGTAGAGCACACTGGACTCACTCTAAGTGGGTTAGGGTCAAAGTGCTTGAGTTTAACTCCTCTCCTATTTTATACCTCCCTTCTCGTTTAGGAAACAGCTTTAGGATGTTGTCTGGATGGAGGTTGTTAGCTATTTTATATTTTATTACGCTGTTAGAAAGTAACTGAATCCAAACTTTTCCATATTTGTGATTTTAGGGGCAACTGGTTTGTGTGATGTCAGTAAATACTGTTGATAACTAATATCTTATTTCTCTTTTTGCAACAGTGATGATAATGAACATTAATGATTATTGCTCCAAACCTCTGCCTGAGACCAATGAACAGTGTAGGAGAGTGAATGTATGAAAACAAAGAAGATCCACAGGCATGAGTCGAGTAGCAGACAAACTGCCGACACTGGATCATATTACTGTCTTTGTCTCAGAACACTGTTTTCTTAAGACTGCCAATAAATCAAATTCAGGAGGAAGCTTTTAGTGCTGACATGACAGGTAAAAGGTGTTAAAAGTGTGTTATGCCTGCCCTATACTTAGCACAAAGAAAAAAAAATGCGTTTGGTTGATATTTTTTTGTTTTGTTTTAGGGCTTCTTGACAATAAAATGTAACACAGATGAAAAAGTTTAAACTTTTTTCATTCAAATCTAGGACAGTGCATGAGGGTTACACCTTTGAGAAACCTGATCAGATCTTTTCCGCCAAATTAAATAGTTTGTAGTCGACAAACTTTAGATTAAAGGTATCATACTCATTGAGCATTACTGCTTGGAGCTGTACAACATCAACAGGATTCTGAGAGCCTTCACTGCGAACTTAATGGGGTTGTGGAAAACCACCCTTCAGGCCCAACTCTCCATCAAATGTGACATATACCAAGGAGGCGCCCTGTCCCCACTGCTGTTCTGCATAGGTCTGAACCCCCTCAGCCGAATAATCAAGACTGGCTATGGATACCGACTCAAAAATGGAACCACAATCAGCCACTTCCTCTACATCAGGGGTGGGGAACCCTGGTCCATTGAGGGCAGCTATCCAGCATATTTTAGTTTCAACCCTGCGTCATCACACCTGATTTCAATCAGCAGGTGATTAACAAGCTTCTGCGGAGCTTGATGAGCTGCAGAACAGGTGAATCAACAACTGAATCACAAGTGTTGGAGCAAAGACATGCAGGATACCGGCCGTCGAGGACCTGGGTTCCCCACTCCTGCTCTACATGGATGGCAGTACACCAAGAGCGAGCAAGACATCGCCTCACTGATCCACACCACCAGGATCTAGAGCACTGATATCGGAATGTCTTTCGGACTTGAAAAGTGTGGTCGGATGGTGACAAAGAGAAGGAAGGTAGTCCACACAGAAGGGGTCTCACTCC